TTTACGTTCTTAAAAAGATTCCGAGCACGTTTCGGTAATCTTGAAAGCAACTCCTTCTATACATACCTTCCGAAAACAATTCAAGAAAATCGATTTTTTTTTAAATATTGCGCCATAACTACGGGTTTTAACTTGTTTAGCTAATGCTATACGGTGCTTAGAAAAGCATTTACTAGCTAAAGGCAAATTGCTATTTCCTTATCAAGAGATATTAGCTTTTAAATGTATAATGAAATACCCGTGTATACAGACCACTGCGCGAGGCTAATCTCATGTGTTTGGGTAAGAATAATATTCTATGGTTTCTTTGATGGACCTCCCAGGAGTAGAGGTGTTAGCACGATGTTGCCAACAGACCCAATGCAGGATGCGAAACCGGTGATTTAAAGCAGTTAAGGGGAACTAGACCTGCTTAAACTCGCATAAAGGATTACTGAACTTAAAGTGCACCATTTGCCAGTATAAGGCTATACATGAGGGTAGACAGGCGATAGACAAGACTATTTTCCAAGGCTGGATCATAGCGAGTTTAATGATTCGCCTTCAGGTGCATTCAAAAAACATCAAACTTTTCAATGATATCTTTCTTATATCGAAACCAGATTTCACCAACAGATCTTTTTGAATAAAAACAACACCAAGCACATGCATGCAAACTCTTCAATTCATTCACAAATGTTGCACAACTTTATTAAAACGAAATTGCATATTTACGCGGATCTGTAAATATATATGAATGTTTAGTTTGTGTTTTTTACCTCGCAGGAGGTAATGGCTCAGCCTGCTTGAATGATTCTTAAATCACTTCAAGTGTCCTTATCTAAAAAGCCTACACACGGATTTCCTCCTGAATTATTGAACTACGTCGATATTTTCTTCTAGAATGAAGTAATGATCTACTTGCTGAGAGACCCAAGATGGGACCGGCTCTATCCTCCTGGGAATTGCATGGTCGTGACGTAAAGAGTGACCGTGGCATTCCATGCAAGAGAAACGCCTGTTCTATATCAGTTTTAAAGCGTCCAATTTAAATATCACGGATTATGTTATCATGGGGCAATTTCCGGACTACCACATTAAAAGATGAAATATTCGAATAGAAATTTTACGCAATTTTCAAATCGACATGATAGGCTGGCAAAACGCGGCATCAGACCTTACAGTGTACTCCACCTGGCGGAAGAAATCATTAAATCCTATGATCAGGGGATTCCTGGATCAGTGGATTACCTCTCAGTAGATTCCGGGATCAGTTAATTCCCGGATTAGAATATCCCCGATCAGTAGATTCCATGATCAATGGAATCCCAGATCGGTGGATACCTATAGATCATTGAGCTCCCTAGATCCGAAAATCCCCAATGACTTCATAATCAATGTTATGGAACCCTGGATCGGTTAGATCACTAGATACGAATGAATCCAAAATTTGCGGGACTTTACCTCCAGACACGCGAGTTCACTGAACAGTACCGAAATCCCATGCATGCATGAATACCGGCATGGTCGTAGGTTCGATTGCTACCAGAGAGCTTATGCATATTTGATATTTTGGACGTTGGAACTGTTCTTCTATACAAAACAGTAGATGTACTCCGATATACCGGTCTACATTTGTCTAAGCCTAACTACAATATAAATACATATCTTATGAAGACACATGTGACATCCTAATTGTTATTGTCTGATCAATTGCATTATAATTAACTTTTTTCCAATATCTTAATAATATAATAAATGAAAGCAAATGTAAATAATAGTTAACAAAACACGCGTCAGGCAAACTAAATATTTCTACATAAGAGTTTTCAAACAATTAGTTTGGTTTTCGTTGGTCGTGTAGTAACGTTGAATTCAGTATTGTATATTATTTTAACTATAGCTCTAGGAAGACTGTTCGATAGAGCTATCCAGTATAAATAAAGTTAGTTTAGTCTACGTTTTTCTCCTGTAGTAACACTGGATCAATAAGAGATGATCCTTACTGGACCTCTAGGAAGAACAGTTAGAACTGATAGAGCTATCCAGTATAAATAAAGTTAGTTTAGTCTACGTTTTTCTCCTGTAGTAACACTGGATCAATAAGAGATGATCCTTACTGGACCTCTAGGAAGAACAGTTTAGAACTGATAGAGCTATCCAGTATAAATAAAGTTAGTTTAGTCTACGTTTTTCTCCTGTAGTAACACTGGATCAATAAGAGATGATCCTTACTGGACCTCTAGGAAGAACAGTTTAGAACTGATAGAGCTACAGTGTAAATAAAGTTAGTTTAGTCTACGTTTTTTCTCCTGTAGTACACTGGATCAATAGAGATGATCCTTACTGGACCTCTAGGAAGAACAGTTTAGAACTGATAGAGCTATCCAGTATAAATAAAGTTAGTTTAGTCTACGTTTTTCTGCTGTAGTAACACTGGATCAATAAGAGATGATCCTTACTAAATCTGGACCTTTAGGAAGAGCAGTTTAGAACTGATAGAGTTATGCAGTGTAAATAAAGTCAGTTTAGTCTAGGTTAATAGGTTTCCTCCTCACTCAGTGTAGTAACACTGGATCAATAACTATGATCCTTAGTCCTTACTGCACCTGATTTTAGACCTGATAGAGGTATTCAGTGTAAATAAAGTTAGTTTAAACATTTTAGCTTACTAAAATCGCGTTACGTAGTAAACTAGCTTTGCAATTAGTTTATTAGCAAAACCAAAGCTCGTTGGATTTCGGTTAGCAAAACCACAACGTTTCGATGTCACCAGGCGGTATTGCTACACAATGTACCTTTCACTTTGAGGATTGTTGATTTCGTTTCCGAGAGCAACCTTTATATATAGTGAAATATCGTACGAACAAAATATAAAAATATTAATCAAGCAAGTATATGTCTGCTTGGAAGAACAATTTCACAGTGATTTATTTTAATCTTTATTATTTGTTTTTAACTTTCTTGAATTCTTACTCCCGGGCACTTCCTGCCCCAATGCTAACTATTCTATACTCCTAACGTAACACATAACATATCCTAAATTTCATTCCCAACCTTAGCTGCACTAATACTGCACTATCGTGGAACACTGGAATCCCCGGGGTGCGACTCGAGAGTACATTTAAATTGCAAATATTTGTGCAGACATCATGTTTATCTTTTGCTTTAGTTTTCAACCAAGTCAGTGCATGTATTAGTGCATTATATAGCCTTTATAATTAGTCGTGTGCAGTCTCTCTTTGCCGTCCGACACATTGCTGGTTCGTTTGTATTTATAAAACGAACTGTCTAGGACAATTATATTTAGATCAACAAATCATTGCAGATAAAAGTAGAGCAATTTATAAGAGGAAACGGAACAAGTCAGCTCACTTAACTGTCTCAGCCTCGTCGTATCGTTATTGACGAGAAGACTATTGAGAGTAGAGACTAGAGTACGTATGGATGAAGAAGTTGATATTTTGGCTACGGTAGAGAAGCTGAGAGCGGCGGGGACAGATCAATCAAAACAAGTACCGGCTCTTCTCAAGCTTGGAGAATGGTACTTGAAGAAATCGAAGTCTACTTCAAATGGCGCCGATTTTGCCAAAGCCAATGCGCTCTACAACGCTGCCCTTGTCAGGTCAAGACGTGTAAACCATGAAATAGACGAAGACCAAATACTCCGACGAATCGTTGAGACTTATCGCGAATTTCTCTACGTATATGCAAGTGATGACGAGGAAATCAGAGCAGATGAGGTTCGTCATGAAATCAATTCTCATAAGGAGTTCCTTGTCAAAGAACGACGGATGTTCCAAGAGCGTGTTACTGAAATCGATCCTTACTTTAATAGGAATGATAAAAGCGACGATCAATATCAGGTATATGAAAATTAACTGTTTAAAGAGTATCGGGATACAATTGCATTGAATTATCTTATATTTTGTCGCATTTTAAAAATCTATTCATACATACAACAAATAGGCGTCCGCCATCTAGAATTGCTAATGTAGTGACGTCAAATATAATGTTTTATAGTGAACAACATATTATGTATACTGTAGTTGGGAGCAGGGTTGGGAAAGATTGGGATATTGTTCAACTTTATATTATACTACCAAAAAGAAAAACGCAGTTCACTGTTATTTTGTAATAGTGACCACATACTGTATATCATGACATTTACATAATTCTTATTACCCGCAAAGAGCGAAGCCAACTAGTGATGTACGATATAAGGAAATATAGATAACTGATTTGTTGTGTAAGGATAAGAAATGAAGTAAATATAGCAAGTCTAGAGTTTATACAACAAACAATGAATACAGAATACGATTTAATCAGTTATATATAACATTGAAATCTCGCTAATATGCTGAGTATGGGGATTGGGGATAGAAATTAAAACTCAATAATTAACAATCGTGAACTTCAATCAGAATCTTTATCATCATGGGCAGATCGATGCGATCGTTTTCCTTCTGCAATATTATCATCAGCGTGTGTTTTAATTTACACTTGCAGTTTTACTTCTTTTGTGCACGGAAACTCCAGGAGTACTCTTCCAGATCAAAGAACCAAATCGAGAAAATGAGCGCTTTTGGATTTCTAATCGTGAAAAATTAATATATTCCCGGCTGCTCTCGCATTATATCTATGATCCTCTAGGTTTCTATAGGTCCTAGGTCTAGGTTTCGCGATTATTATTATTATTTTTTTGTGTGTCGCCGGCTTAGTCTTCCGCGCGGACAGTCGCGTATTTACAGTGTATCAATATAGCTCAGTTTCAGTGCAGTGTATTTACCGGCTACATAGCTCCAGTTAACGCCAACCGGGCGTCTTTTTCTTGTAGAAAAATCGGTGCAATCCCATTTGAAATGTCATATTTAGCAAATTTGCGGAGTCTGTGATGTATAACATATTCATAGGAAGAGATTTTGAAGAGTGTATTTGAACAAATATAATCTGTTCATTAAGATCCACGCAGATCAGATGCACGACGTTTTTCGAGACATTCAAGATATGTACATCAGGCTTGTATCAATGTTAACAAAAGAATGTGAGGGCAGACTTGGCAAACCACCTTGTGACTACGCCATTATTGCCCTCGGCTCCGTAGCACGTATGGAAGCAACGCCTTTTTCAGATTTGGAGTTTGCCATTCTATACTCGGACCCAGCTATAGGAGACAAGATCAACTACTTTCGAGTAATGAGCCATTTCCTTCATTTGAAAGTTATTAATCTTGGAGAGACCATCCTACCAGCTTTGTCGATTCAAGAGCTCAACGATTTTCAGTCTTCAGATCCCAATAGCAATTGGTTCTATGACTCGGGAACGCCTCGGGGCATTTCGTTCGATGGAGCAATGCCGTGGGCGTCCAAGACTGCACTGGGAAGAATGGCAACGAAGCATAAGCCTGAATTAGAGTTGATCAGAACCCCAGAAGGAATGGCCGAATTTCAAGATGAAGAAATTGCCGTGAAAGAAGGTTATCATTTGGGTAAGGTTATATAAAATTTTCGCATAAACTGCTGAATTATCCCGTCAATTTAGTAGTATAGTATTTGATGGATGAGCTACTCTAACTTCATGTACTTGAAAAATCGTCTAAAAATTTTGTTCGTTCATGCTTGGAGGGTTTCTTCCTAAGTTAACTATAACTGTAACTGTTCTATAACTGTATAGAAACACGGGACTTTTCCCGCCGAACTTGACTAGCGAAGTAATGTAATGAGAATTTGTAATTGAATCGAATTATAATCTTTGTACAAAATCTTGTGTACAAAAAGAAATAGAACACATAACTGATTTGTTGATAGAATACAACCCCTGTGGGGCGAGTTTTTTAGGTTATTTCGAGTTCTCCCACAAGTTTTCTATTTTCAAATGTTTTCTGTTTCTTAAATGTAGTATTTACACTGCTGACTATCGTTTTTGTTAATTGATGTTATCATTTAGCTGAAATTATGTCGAGAGTTGCTTTACTGTATGGAGACCAAGCTTTACTGAACGAGTACAACGAACGAGTGGCTGAAAAATTGAATGCAAAATCATCGAAAACAGGAGAGAAGTCTAGCAGTAAAACAGTAGGCGTCATTCGAGGAATGCGGCAAATGGTGGATGATGTGCAAACCTATCATCCCTTCAATTCCTACCTTGGACACCATTGTAATGCAGGTGCTCTTTTCGATACCAAGAAACAGTTCTACCGTCTAATCTCGCTACTTGTTTCGGATTTGGGAATGATATTCGACGTTAGATCTCCCTCCCCTTGGCAGGTAATTTCTGAATTGCAGGCTCGCGGAATCATCTCTGTGCCCGAAAGTCTCAACATCAAAGTTTGTATTTCGATTGCTAATGAAATACGACTGAAAACGTACTTTGCTAATAACGGACAGAAAGAACTGTTCTCTCCTGTTCCTGAGTATGGGAATACTACTACCGAAGAATCCGCCGATATCCCTATTTTCCGAGATTTCGATGAAGATATCTTAGTCCGTCTTCTAAGTACAAGTAATAACTTGTGTCTTCGTTGTCATGTGTTTTGTTTGAAGTGGATTAAACATGACCACATAGATGACAGAATATTTCAGAATCCATATTTTGTAATGCCGAAGGCAGTGCAAATGGGCCATCTTTACTTTCGACTGCAAAATTTTCATAAATCTTTAGAGTGGATGAAATCTGCACCGAAAGATAGACCGTACTACGCAAGCAGTCTTTCTGGACAGGGCAAAGTTTATCTTATATTTGGAGAATATGCCAAAAGCATCGGATGTTTTGAAGAAGCGCTGCAATTCATTGAATGGGACGAGTACGAGTCAGGTCCACATGTGATTTCATGGTATAATGATCTAGCATATGCACTACTACGAGTGGGAAAATATAAAATGGCTAGAATGAGGTTGGAAGAAGCGGTTTGTAAGCACAATGAAATGTATAACGAAGGATCTAAGACAGTCTTTCTCAGCGGTCTAATGCAAAATCTTGGCGTTGCCTATGGTATGCTTGGTGACACTGCTTTAGCTGTAGAAACATATAATGAAGTACGAGAGATAAACAAGGGATTAACGAAGGTTCCTGATGCGCCAGTGATTTATCTAAACATACACATGGCCTTCGCATTAAGTGAACTTGGTCAACATGCACAGTCATTGGAATACATAGAAAGAGCGTTACAACTTAGTCATAAGGTATTTGGTGCAAATAATCTCAGTATTCACTTGGCTGATATTTATCACATTGCAGCCGTGGTGTATGGTCGTTGTAATCTGAATGACAAAGCTGTGTCTTTGTTTAAACGAAGTCTGGAGTTGTACAAACTTTTATTTGGCGACAAACCCTATCCAGGTAAGATCATATCTTAAGCATGCACGTTTGATACAGTGTTTTTAAAGAATGAAAAGAATTATCGGTAGGTTTTCTGTCTAATCATCGTTCATGTTGCCCGCTGCTAATCTTGAAAGCCAAGATAGCAATGTTAGAAGTGTTGGTGTATAGATTTTTCTTATCATGCAATATTTTAAGGGGCTGTTTAAATGAGCCTGGTTACCCTATAGATTCAACGAAGCGTGAGTGGACTTTGAGGTAAAATGAATTCAGCAAGTTGGCATTCTTTTAAATGAAATAAGTCTTTATGACACCAAACAAGCACATGCTATTGTTGTGGTGATTATACGACTGCCAGGATCATGTTATCTGCTCATTTCAATACCTCAAAATCATCTCACGCTTCGTTGAATCTCGGGTAACCGGGCTCGTGTAAACAGCCCCTTAAACTTGCTGTTTTATTTCCAGGTAAAATGATGGTCCTCGGTGATTTGGGACAGTTCTTTGCTGAAAGATGTCAAACGAACAAAGCCGTAGAGAATTTGGAAGCTGCTTTAAAACTGGCGAGAGCTGTCTATCGTAAAAACCCCCAAGTATTTCTTGCTAAAATACTTAATGATCTAGGAACGATAATTGGTAATTTGTTGAATGCTGAGAGTGTGAAGAATTTCCCCCCTGAAAGGTTGGGGCAATCACTTCTATACTTCCAAGAAGCGAAAGAAATCATGGATGAAATCCTAGGACCAGGTCATGCACATCCATACACTTCAAATACACTTAATAACATGGGAGCAATTTACCTCGAACTTGACGATTTGTCTAAAGCTCTTCAATGCTTTAAAGATGCTTTTAACATTAACTCTGTAATTTATGTAGAAGATAGCATTTGTGGTAACATGACATCTATCCGTTCAAATATCGCCTACACATTGGAGAAAATGGGCTTCTACAACGAAGCGAAGGATTACTACATCAAAGCTGTTAAAATCGCGAGAAAAATGTCCTTGAACAAGAAGACCTGCTCCATTGTTCTAGTCAATCTTTATCGCATAAGCTTGATCTGTGAAGAGTTTGGGGAGCGAGATGAAGAGTTAAAGCATTTAGAAGAAGCGAGAAAGATTTCAAAAGAGACTCGCTGTAAAGAGTGGTGTAAAGAGTGGGTGATGGTATGTATACTGGTACAATTAATGAGGAAATACGCCATGATGGGATCCATCGTCAAAAGCATTGTGTATTATCTAGAAGCACGAGAGATGGCAAAAAGCTTACCGACAGAGGATTTTCTTCCACAGTTAATAATGGATGTGCTAAAATTAATGGAAATTTAACTAACAGAAGCCATGTTACAGAAGCCAAAAAACCGAACACAAATTGTACAACGGCAAAGCGATCGTTTCGCCAAGCAAATCACCTCCCGTTTCAATGTCGTACTTTGGTAGCACAAAACACTTTCAGTTCTCGTTTTTGTTGCCAATGTATATATAATGGCTATGTTTATTTTATACGCTTCGTTAAATCTCGGTAACCGCGGGCTCATGTGAATAGCCGCTCAGTTCGGTCAGAGGGTTCACCGAAATCCCATGCTTGAATTCCGGCATGGCTGTAGGTTCGATTACTTTACCAAAGAGGTTATATATAGTTGGTACTGTAGCCGTTAGGAGGAGCTGTTCTTAACAGCTAGTGGATGTAATTCGATACACCGGTCTATACATTTGACTAAGTCTAACTACAATATAAATACATACCTTATGAAGACACGTGTGACATCCTAATCGTTATTGTCTGATCAATTGTATTACCTTTTTCCAATATCTTAATAATATAATAAATGAAAGCATATGTAAATAATAGTTAACAAAACACGCGCCAGACAAACTACATATTTCCACATAAGAGTTTTCAAACAATTAGTTTGGTTTTCGTCAGTCGTGTAGTAACGCTGAATTATTGTTTTATTTGTACATTACTTTAACTATAAACCTCTAGGAAGAACAGTTTGGAACTGATAGAGCTATCCAATATAAATAAAGTTAGTTTAGTTTAGGTTTCCTCCTGCATGCAGTAACACTAAATAAGAGATGATCCTTACTGGACCTCTAGGAAGAACAGTTTAGAACTGATAGAACTATCCAGTATAAATAAAGTTAGCTTAGTCTAAGTTTCCTCCTGTAGTAACACTGGATCAATCAATAAGAGATAATCCTTACTACTAACCTCCCAGGAAGATCAGTTTAGAACTGATAGAGCGATTCAGTATAAATAAAGTTAGTTTAGTTTAGGTTTCCTCCTGAGTAACACTGGATCAATAAGAGATGATCCTTACTGGACCTCCTAGGAAGATCAGTTTAGAACTGATAGAGCTATTCAGTATAAATAAGGTTAGTTATTTTAGGTTTCTTCCTGTAGTAGCTAACACTGGAACAATAAGAGATGATCCTTACTGGACCTCGTACGGGAATATCGCTTGAAATCAAGCCAAGATAAAAGACTGATGAACTATGATCACAAAGTCTCAAGTTTTAAAACCAATTCCAGTTTGCCCCATAAAAGAACAAATTCCTTTCAAAAAAAACCTCAGAAGTGTATATATCTGATTGAAATTTTTTAATTAAATTGTTTTTCTTTCATCAAGCATTGGCATTGTATAATACAATACAATAAAACATAATAAAATTGATATAAACGGACAAAATAATTACAGCCGACTCGAGATCAGAAAAGCGAGAAGATGCATGGTTTGGGTATCATAATTATAGTTATACAAACAATAATACAAGCAGCGACCTAAATATACAAAAAAACCGTGGAGAAAGTTTGTCAGGAAAGCTATAATATATGAAAAATGTTTTTTACTGACAGTATTTCAGAGTGTAATATATATCTGCATAGACAAGGCATAATTAAAACGATATATATACACAATTATATATAGTAAATTCGTGTTGACTTAGGCAAAATAACGTTATATTAAAACCCGACAGTTATAGACAGAGCGATTTAAAGCGAGTGAAACTACGTCTACAAGACGATAACCGCTTTCGCTTCATAAATACCTTTTCATTCATTTTAATATTATATAAATATACTACAAAATCCACGAAATATACAGAGCCACATTTTCTACAATATACAGGCATTTCGCAACACAGTTGCATGCAGTTTTACTCATGCTATAAGCAGATCTTTCTATAGCTGGGCACGGTGTTGGATTTCGTTGTTCTTGCCTGAATCAAAATTTAGTCGGTGTCTCAAATAATCCATTGTAAGAATTACTGTAATTGATACCAATACCAATTTGTGGTCAAACCGATTTAAAACCTTAAGCCAATTTACTATGGTCTTTAACTCAGGGCAAACAACAACACAGTGTAGCTTCAAGGCGGTGTTAAGGCTAGTTTCCGCTGAGGAAAATTCTCCTTTGGATCGGACAGGACAGGACAGGAAAGTCTCCTTTGTATAAACGCCGCCTGAGAACTCACCGACAAAGGAAATTTTCCTGTCCGTTCCGATCCAAAGGAGATTTTTCCTGAGTGGAAACTAGCCTTTACGCTATGCAATTCTACTCCTGAGGTACCTCAAGATTTCAAATACGAACATTTCATACGTTTTGCTAGCGTTTTCTTAGCATTTCGAACACTCTTAACAAATTAACAATCCTCAGAATTATCGTTGCATTGCAAGCTGCAAGACGAAAGTTGCATAGTGCAACAGCGAGTTAAGGTCTGTTCACACGAATCACGATCGTATTTTATCGGATCCAGTTCATGTACGTCTGATGGATGTTTTATAGTCGGTCGACTTCAATGTATATAGGCAGCAATGTTCAAGTGAAGTCAGTGCAGTACCGCTTCATCAAAACAGGCTGCATTCCATATACCTCAGAACTCAGAAATGAGTTGGATCCGACAAATTTGGATCGTGTGTAAAGACCTCTGCAACAATTAATTCGTTTCCTGTGCACCTTAATCCCAGTCTTTGTTGAGTTTTGTCATCAAATTAGTCTAAACGATATTTAAGTGGTAATTTGTTTTATTTCTGCGTAAACATGGCAGCGGACAAAGAGCTGTGTTATGAAACACAAACAGGCGATTTTAAGTTGGACAAATTCAGCTGCCTCTCTGGAACACTTTCAATCTTATCTGATTAAATTTGAAACAATTCGACAATTATAGTATAACGTTAACTCGACTGCTGGACTTTATAACTGGACTGGTATTCGTGAATTCTATAGCTATTCAGTTAAAATAAAGTTAGTTTAGCTTAGGTTTCCTCCTGTAGTAACACTGGATTGAGAAGAGATGATTCTTACTGGACCTCTAGGAAGAACAGTTTAGAACTATAGAGCCATCCAGTTCTAAACTGTTCTTCCTAGAGGTCCCGCAATAAGGATGATCTCTTATTGATCCAGTGTTACTACAGGAGGAAACCTAAACTAAACTAACTTTATTTATACTGGATAGCTCTATCAGTTCTAAACTGTTCTTCCTAGAAGTCCAGTAAGGATCATCTCTTATTGATCTAGTGTTACTACAGGAGGAAACCTAAACTAAACTAACTTTATTTATACTGGATAACCCTATCAGTTCTAAACTGTTCTTCCTAGAGGTCCAGTAAGGATCATCTCTTATTGATGCAGTATTGCTACAGAAGGAGACCTAAACTAAACTAACTTTATTTATACTGGATAGTTCTATCAGTTCTAAACTGTTCTTCCTAGAGATCCAGTAAGGATCATCTCTTATTGATCCAGTGTTGCTACAGGAGGAAACCTAAACTAACTTTATTTATGCCAAATAATTCCATTCAGTCGGACCAGTTTCGGAGTTGAATCCAAACAAGCACTCCAGATTTTCCAATGCACCCAGTGCCGCCTATTTGTTATACAAAATGACCTATATCTAGACAATATTTACTTAACACTTCTTCTGAAGCCGCTACTTAAGCATGTAAAGCCCTGATGGTTTTTATTGTTAATTTTTCATAGGCACTCGTGTCTAAGTGGTTGAAATTTGCATTTGGACGTGTGGGGTGACACCTGAATTAAAAGTTCAAAAACATAATGCCATTCATGAGTAGTTTTGAATGTATCTTTTGAATTGAGTCGACCGAACTTGGCAGCCCGGCTTATCAAAAGCAACTGAAATGCACAAATTTAGTTTGATTTGGATAATCAGTTTTGATATATTCTGCTTTCACATCGTTGCATGCGATACACTTGTCTTGTACACAGAGGATTTTCTATTTTGTATAGATATCATAGATATTTATTTTTTTCAATACTATATTATATAGGAGTGACTGTTTCTCCATTTTTCATTCAAATTAATTGATAGTTTAATTGTGAGCCTTTATCATGGAAGGACAGTTTAGAACTGATAGAGCTATCCGGTATAAATAAAGTTAGTTTAGTTTAGGTTTCCTCCTGTAGTAACACTGGATCAATAAGAGATGATCCTTACTGGATCTCTAGAAAGAACAGTTTAGAACTGATAGAGCTATCCAGTATAAATAAAGTTAGTTTAGTTTAGGTTTCCTCCATGTATAGTAACGCTGAATCAATAAGAGATGATCCTTACTGGACCTCTAGGAAGAACAGTTTAGAACTGATAGAGTTATCCAGTATAAATAAAGTTAGTTTAGTTTAGGTTTCCTCCATGTATAGTAACGCTGAATCAATAAGAGATGATCCTTACTGGACCTCTAGGAAGAACAGTTTAGAACTGATAGAGCTATCCAGTATAAATAAAGTTAGTTTAGTTTAGGTTTCCTCCATGTATAGTAACGCTGAATCAATAAGAGATGATCCTTACTGGACCTCTAGGAAGAACAGTTTAGAACTGATAGAGCCATTCAGTAAAAAAGTTAGTTTAGTTAACGTTTTATCTTGTACCAACACAATAGACGATTTTGGTGGACTCTAACGGAAAAATTTTACCGCGGTAAGATCACCTTCGTTTCATATTTATTAAAAGCGCATACGCAGTCAATATAATCTCGAGTGTAAATTTGATTCTTTATCGCTTTCATCATTAAATTATGTTGATAGAGCTAGTGAGCTACTGTTAGACGCCTAGCCAAAGTGTTGTACGTCATGGCGACACAGCAGCTGAAAATTCTATATTCACGAAAAAAGATAAGATCTGGAAGTATCAACATTAATAATAAAATCTAGATTTTTCAAATGAACCTTCACAATTCCAGTTTGTCGAATCAGATTCACAGAGGGAAACCTGAACTAAACTAATTTTATTTACGTTTGATAGCTCTTACTATATCTGTTCGTTCAAGAGGTCCAGTAAGGATCATCTCTTATTGATCCAGTGTTACTACAGGATGAAACCTAAACTAAAAACAAACCTTGTTTATACTGGATAGGCCGAACCCATACTTTGTCAGTAAAAACCGAACCGTTGTCAGTGGGAGAAAATAAGAGTTAAGTTACCTTTGGTAGCAATGTATGAACCTTACTCGGGAAATGATCCTTACTCGATCTCTAGATTTATAGGAAGAGCAGTTTGGACCAAACAGACAAGTTTGATAGTTTGCTTCAGTTTAGTTTTCTACAGGTAGTAACACTGGATCAATAAGGTTCGATCTTCACTGAACTTCTATGGGGAGAACTGCGTGTGATTCTTGCTCCTAACCCCAACCTCTCACCCACCCACCACCATCACATTGTGAGTTTTAAAAAATAAAAAAAAGTCTTTCCGCCGCATAACGGAAATTAATTTTTCAATTATCTTTATTAGTTTACAAGAAACGTATATCTTTTTAATCATTTCCAGTTATTTTGACTAACGATGGAAACAAAGTATTAAAGTTTATGACATACAGAAATGCAATATAGAAACAAAGCTTTGTATTATTAATGCATGTCCAACATTGCAGTCAAGTAAAATTGAAACCTTCATGACTCAGAGTCTGCAATTCATCAGTTCTAAATTGTTTTTCCTGGAGGTCCAGTAAGGATCATCTCTTATTGATCCAGTGTTACTACAGGAGGAAACCTAAACTAAACTAACTTTATCTATACTGGATAGCTCTATCAGTTCTAAACTGTATTTCTTAGAGGTCCAGTAAGGATCATCTCTTATTGATCCAGTGTTACTACAGGAAGAAACCTAAACTAAACTAACTTTATTTATACTGGATAGCTCTTTTATAAACTGTTCTTCCTAGAGGTCGAGTAAGGATAATTTCTGGTTAATCCATGCAGTGTTGCTTACTTGCAATGCATTATACTAAAAGCAATCAATTGCTGAAGCTGAGGTGACTGATACACCAGCCCTCTAAGGTGTTGATCATGCATGTTACTATAAAGTATAGCCCCATATCGACCGACAAACATAAATATATTCATGAAGACCTAACGATCGCGGCAAAGTCTAAAGCAATAAACTACAAATTACGATTCATTGAGACACTTAACAAGATCAAACACACTCTTCTAAGACGTTATCTCATTATTCGCTATTCAAATGAATACAGAATTGAGTATACAAACGAGCCTTATCGCATCATACATTGTCGCGATCATGTACATAATGTCTTTAATATATACACAAGGCGTTCACTCGCAAATTAGCAATTGAAAATGTCGCGAATTTAAACGGTTAATTTATTAAACAATGTCAGCAAAACAATTAAAAAATGTCCAATTATATTCCTATTTTGATACTGTACACAGAGCTAGCCGCAAATATTGCAATTCGAGTACATCATATTAGTTCGGCTACGATACAGGCATATTATATATTACTGAATCGTACACTACAAAAAGAACAGGTAATGCAATAGCTATTTCGAAATCCTAACAGTGTGAATTCGGTCTAGGCAAAACCAAGCCTGGAACGATATTGGATCGTGTGTATAATGTAAGCTCACGAATCTAAACTCTTCAATCCGAGATCTCGCCGTTCCAATATCATGCACAACAGAGATAATCATTCAGAAAAAGCGGTCTATAGCAGAGCTGGTGGTGTGATTGAAGATCCCAAATTTGATTGCAAAACCCGTAACTTTTGTGCGATTAATACAAGCCAATTGTCTTTGTTTAAATGCCTTTAAATAAGTTACACAAGTGATTGCTTGTGCATACAAATAAAGATTTTCACTTACAAACAGGCTTTGGTTTTATTTTTGTAAATTATCCGCACGATTAACGTTGAACTAAAAACCTTTATATGAGAAACATAAATAAGCATCTTTTCAGTTTTGAAACGACGAATTCGCGTCGAAATCAATTCTTATAACGTCACTACTTTAAAACAACGCCTCCGAAAATCACCTTGAAATTCAAAAGTTTGACATTTTGCAACCAATTATTCTACTTCACGATTTCATTTTGAAATTTCGTTGCAATCATGCAAATAATTTATACATATACTGCCTTACTGCCATATGTTCTGCTATCTTTCGCAGGCAATTGAAGTATCAAATTTTCAATTTGCTCTCAACGAGCTGACTGCGTCATTCGCACCAGCTGTACGCGTTTGGAAAACAGACGGTCTATATTATACTACTATAGGTCACACTGACGCGCATCTCTGATTGGATTTGCGAAAATTGTCCGCGCTATCTGAGGGTTTAAAATAGATTGTGTATGTATTGAATCATGAGAGAATTATAATCGTATCTTTTTCAAAACAATTATCAGATGTTTATATTTACATTACGAAATCAGAGTGAAAAGGTGCTCATTGGATGCAAAGCACATCAGTTTAATTTTAACTGCCGTTTTTTTTTACAACAAACGCGTCTTATTTCGTGTCGAAACTGCTCAGAATAGGAAAAGGATTTGCGGATGAAAAACTTGGAGGAATTGAAAAGGTTTTGTCTATTGTACTTTTGAGATCACAAAACATAGCAACATTTCTCGGTAATAATATATTTATTCACGCAGAATGTTGTGTGTAGATGTGAAATGAAGAGAACTTTGCAAGTGCATGTAATGCACGACCAATTTCGGGACCCTCTTTAAGGTCGTACGAATTTAGAAAAAAAAACACGCTAACTTATTGTGCAACACTTGTTACACACGCAATCGCCTCTCACCGCGATATTCCAGCGCAAATGGCACAGAAATAGCGTGCAAACGTGTTAGACTACAACAATTTAAATGGAAGCGTTACCGAGACTTCAAGTTCGGTGTTTCGTACAGAAGATTGCGGGTGACGCTCCGCGGGTCATGTGACCAGCATCACGCCATCTGCCCACGCGCGCGCTTTAAAACGCAACGTGTTATGCTGTCAGACGCCCAGTATTACGCTCTTGAGGTTTCCGATGGAGCTGTAGACAACAGCGCACAAACAACAACCAGTTTTGGACTCGAGCTTTTGAAAACTTCTCAGAACAAGCCAGAAACAGTATTCTCAGGCAATTTTTAGCAACATGGGTAAGTGAGAGCTCGCTCTTTTTCCATATGCACCCCAAACCGTACGGCGTCGAAATCCTTTCTTGAAACAGGCGTAATTTCAGAGCGACAAAGTTTATTCTAAATTAATTACGTTTTAATGACAATTCGGTATAGTCTATAGGGCAAACAGACTTCGGAAGTCGAGAATCATTGAACTTTGCATGTGAACTTTTAGCGCGGCTACAGTTCTCACAGTGAAACGGACATTTTTTCGAATTGCATCAAATGCATGTGCTAGAGTTTAATGCGAGCGCGCACGACCGTTCTGGCTGCGGCCCGGAGAGCGTGGAATTTATTTTAATTTCGAATTTATTGAGGGGCACTATTTGATTAGCGTCTATTTCGTTTATTTAATTTGAGGCATCGCGATATATATGCAATAAAGCAGCTTTTAGCCTTGTTCAAATAGACAGGTTGGATATTTTTTTACCGAAGTATAGAATGCTTGAAATTTTGAATACACATTACAACTTGATAAAAACACATATAGAGTGGCGCGCCAGTTAAACATCAGTATCGTAAAATTTCAAAAGTGCAGGCAGTCGCGATATTCATACGCGTAAGCGATATATACTTTATACATCGAGTTTTAACAGAAAGTTTGCTGTTTCATATATGCATATATGCGATTTGGACGTGCGAAAATTCTTGTGTTTACAAGCCTTTCCATCCGAAATTTGCACAGATGAATATTTTAGCTAACTTTATTTATATAAATCCAGCGTAGAAAAATTTCATAAGTTCTAAAGCGTTCTTCGCTCTTGATTCAAGAATTGTTAATAATAGGAGTTTACAAGAAACGAAAGTTGTTTTTAAACAGATTTTCAAGTATAAAGAAGTTTGTTGATAGACTTATTTATTATCAAGGGACAAATTGAAGAATGCCATGCATATTAAAAATTACCTGAAGTCGTTGAATCTTGCGTTCTGACTGACTGAAGTATATATTCACTCTATCAAAAAAAAATGTGTGAATTACGATTTTGAAATAAACACTTTTGAAAGAGACGTTTTAAAGACAATGTTGAACGAAAAATATTCAATCCAGTACATTCTGTACTATAATACGGGAGACTTTATCCGCCAATCCCCGTCTCTTTTTGTCGAGTGAAAAGGATTAAAAAGTCCTCGCTCATGTAGTTACAATAAATCAATAGGAAATTATCCTTACTGGACCTCTAGGAGGAAGAGTTTAAAACTGTTAGAGCTATCTAGTATAAATAAAATAAGTTTTGTTTAGGTTTCCTCCTGTAGTAACACTGCATGGACTAGTCAATAGGAGATGATCCTTATTGGACCTCTAGGAAGAACAGTTTAGAACTGATAGAGCTATCCAGTATAAATAAAGTTAGTTTAGTTTAGGTTTCCTCCTGTAGTAACACTAGATCAATAAGAGATTATCCTTACTGGACTTTTAGGAAGAACAGTTTAGAACTGATAAAGCTATCCAGTATAAATAAAGTTAGTTTAGTTTAGGTTTCCTCCTGTAGTAACACTGGATCAATAAGAGATGATCCTTACTGGACCTCTAGGAAGAATAGTTTAGAACTGATAAAGCTATCCAGTATAAATAAAATTAGTTTAGTTTACGTTTCCTTCGCCTATACAGTAGCATTAATACAACCTGACCGGAGCTTAACGATCTTTTGTTTATTATAGAAGACCGAAAGGTTATTATCCCAAGTGTGTCACCCCATGATTCACAAGATGAACGCAAGACAGAGATCTTGTGCAAGGTTTGTGGCGATGTCTCGTCTGGTCGTCACTACGGAGTGTACACGTGTGACGGATGCAGTGGTTTCTTTATGAGGAGCGTACGAAGAGACGCCGTCTACACTTGCAAGGGAAACGGGACGTGTATCGTGGACAAGAAACGAAGAAATCAATGTCAGGCTTGCAGATACAAGAAATGTATTGACGCGAAAATGAATAAATTCGGTGAGTTACTTGCAAACAATTGTTCTTCCTAGAGGTCCAGTAAGGATCATCTCTTATTGATCCAGTGTTACTACAGGAGGAAACCTAAACTAAACTAACTTTGTTTATACTGGATAGCTCTATCAGTTCTAAATTGTTCTTCCTAGAGGTCCAGTAAAGATCATCTTTTATTGATCCAGTGTTACTACAGGAGGAAACCTGAACTAAACTACCTTTATTTATACTGGATAGCTTTATCAGTTCTAAACTGTTCTTCTTGCTTGGAGGTTTAGCAAGGATAATTTCTTATTGATCCAGTGTTGTACTACAGGATGAAAACTGTTTAAAACTTTTGGTAAACGAATGACAAGCCAACGATTCGTATGTTTAAAAACGTCCAAAAATAGGCCTAACAAACAATGATCGTATTCTATACAGTCTATATAAAGTATGCCGTGAATCATTAGGACCAGTTTAAAACATGTTATGGCACAATGCTGCCACCAGCGCGTGGCTAGAAGCCTACAATATCCTACAGCGATCGTGCATTAACTGTCTGGTTCATCGTTAATGGCGCCAAACTAAAAACACGAATGCACGCAAACCTACGCAGTTTAAAATGGCGTGTTTTTTATATGTGAATTATATATGCTTTTTGCTGTTTTTGCACAAGTTCGACCCGCGCGCACACAGCTGAATGATTCTAGATAGATCTTTTAACACTCATTCATTTAAGATGGCTCATTTCTATGGAGTATGGAACGTTAGTAAAAGTACTTTTCTACGATAGACACGACTTTAATTGAACGGACACAGTACAATAGTTCAAAAAATGAGACAGGCAGTGCAATGTATCGTTAGTAACTGATAGGAAATTCAGGAAGTGTCTGAAACAGCTTCACTCGAGTCAAATTTACAAGAGCTTTCTTCTCGTGAGGTGAAAATGCCAAATAACAGGAAGAAAATAACCCGGCTTTCTTGCGTGCATTTGAACTGGAATTAGCAACTCCTATGCATGCCTATGTCCGCATTAGGAAGGAGATCAAATACTAGAGCAGCATTCGAATACTGGATATATATAAAAAGTTTTGTAGACTGACAAACGAGTATATATATTCAAACTGTTATCGCTGTAGGCATTGTGTTTTCGCTTTTTTTTGGCACAAAACCGCGACTGTGCATGCTGTTTTTGAGTGAGTGCATGCGTGACATAGGTTTAATAAACCTGTATACCACTCCCTCGCCTTTCCTGACTTGCAACTTCATTAATACCACTATATTTCTATTCGGAATATTCAGCTCGATCCTGCAAGGTCAAGAGTCCGAAGTTTAAGAGAACGAGATTCGAGCGCAGAGTCGCATTGTCGCAGTTCAACAAGTTCAAACCGCGATTTTTTGCATAGGAAGCAGGGTAAGACTCCAAGCTGTGTCAAAGCCCAATGGAGACAGGTCATAGGGGATGTTTTCAACCCCGCGGTTAAGTGCTTGGATGTATTTCTGCGACTATCCGGTAAATCGATACTGCGAAATCGAATTCATTTCAATTTAGAAATAAACTTAGTTTAGTTTATGTTTTTTTCTTTATCAACACAACAACACCGTATCGATAAAAGATGATTCTTATAATAGCTACCTCTAAGAAAAAACAGTTTAGAACTGATAGAACCATCCATAATATAGTTTGTTTATTCCAGTTTACGTTTTCTCCCGTGGTAACATTGGATCGATAGGACTATCTTCACTGAAATCCGAGAAAGAACAGTTTAGAACTGATAGAGCTATCCATGCAGTATAAATAAAGTTAATTTAGTTTAGGTTTCCTCCTGTAGTAACAATAGATAAATAAGAGATGATCCTTACTGGACCTCTAGGAAGAACAGTTTAGAACTGATAGAACTATCCAGTATAAATAAAGTTAGTTTAGTTTAGGTTTCCTCCTGTAGTAACACTGGATCAATAAGAGATGATCCTTACATGGACCTCTAGGAAGAACAGTTTAGAACTGATAGAGTTATCCAGTATAAATAAAGATAGTTTAGTTTAGGTTTCCTTCTGTAGTAACACTGGATCAATAAGAGATGACCCTTACATGGACCTCTAGGAAGAACAGTTTAGAACTGATAGAGCTATCCAGTATAAATAAAGATAGTTTAGTTTAGGTTATCTCCTGTAGTAACACTAGATCAATAAGAGATTATCCTTACTCGACCTCTAAAAAACACAATTTTCAATATCCAGTATAAAGTTTAGTTTAGTTTAGTTTAAGTTTCATCATGTGCATGGTAACATTGGTTCAATTAGAAATCAGATAGGCCCTTACTGCGCTGTTGGGAAGAACAACAGTCAGATTATGAAGCTATCCTTTAGGTTAACTTCTATAGCGAAACTGGATCAATAAGAAAAGATTCCCACTGGACCTCTACATAAGAACAGCTAGCTAAAAGGTGTATAGGCCTATCCGTCCGTTTAATTTTGGCGTCCTGCATGTACTGACACAAAGTCTAAGAAGGAATTATCCTTACTGGACTTCTAGTAAGAACGTTTTATAGGGCAAATATGGAGCTATATCCAGCAAAGCTAAATTAGTTTAGGTTTCATTTTCAAGTCTCCATTGTACGAACTGCCCAGATATATCGGTTTGCGGTTTCTACAAGACAAATAAGCGAGCCGTTTTAAAAATTCACCCGACAATTAAACTAAGCCAATTCTTCCAATTAATCTTGTATTTCTGATACGAATATAATAGCAAATATCGGTAGTCTCGTTTGAAGTGAATTGCAAGCAATCAATAATTAACGGTCGCCCTGTGGGGCGCTGACAGGCTAAAAACCTTGAGCACAAATTTTAGGCATGCAAAAATCTCCCAAACAAAAACACAAGGTCAAGACGGCTCGTTTAAAAAAACGCCTGTTTTGGGAGCTGAAAGAAAGGTAGCTTATCTTACGTGTAGGAACCACACGCGACCAAAAACTCATTACAAAGTCTTTGTCTTCATAAATAACAATTAGCCATACATTTTATAAAAGGAATTGTTTCTTTTTATCATTTAATATGGCTACATAGAGTCGACAACAGCTGAGCGCCTTTGAGACATCATATAATCAAATTCATTAAAACCGCTAATTTGTTTAAGAAAATCAAACTGTAATCTTTTCGGTCGAAGCGTCGTTTTCGACGGCGAAATTTCCTGTCGAAAAGCTGCTTGCATTTTTGCTTTTTTTTTCATCAACAGCTCGGCAATACCCAAGCCTAGAATTAACGATTTGCACGAACTTTGCATGCATTCGACCACCTGCTCTCGCGGACTAAGTAATTTCATTTCTCTCCATTGAAACGCGTCACGTGTCGTTTATCGATAGTCAATAGATGTCTGTTGGTTTAAGGGATGAGTGGATATTAGTACGATTGTCGGGAGCTCATCGAGTACAATTATTTACGTTTGCAAACACCGCAGTTGTCGGATTAAAACACACTCGAAGGCATGCTTTCGCGCTCGCGGGGGAGTTATCAGGGCCGTCCTCAGAAAGCATAACGCGCAATTTGCCGTTGGACTAATTTCTTAACGAAGTAAACAACCACAGCTAGAAAGATCATACTGAAATTCTTAAGACTTCAAAGTTTGATTGTGAAATGTTATAAAATGCGAAAAATATGGCCTTGCAAAGTTCGCAAATTCATATACTTTTTTAATGCGGACGAAAACGTACCATTTTTGGTCCAAAAGCCGGGTAACAATCTCCGTGTGAACTAAAAAAGTATAAACATATACAGAAGTGCAGGAGAAAGACTTCTTTGCTGGACTTTTGACGATGAGATGACTTATAAACTCGTTTACTTTTAGCGGTTCAACAAGAGCGCCAACCGAACTCTTTGCGGTTGTCCAAGAGCCTTGACGACCACGAGTTTCTGAAAGTTCCTGGGAACGAGTTTTTGAACAGCCTCATAATCGCCGAACCCTACCGGGAACTCGCGCTGAGGCCCGGATACCCGAGCCCCACCTACGCGCCCGGGGGCCAAGACTGCTTTCCCATGTACTGCAACCCGCACGAAAACACCTGCGAGGCCGCCGCCCGATTGTTGTTCATGTCCGTGCGATGGGCCCGCAATATACCTTCCTTCGTCAACCTCCCGTTCCGCGATCAGGTCATCTTACTCGAAGAAGGCTGGCGAGAATTGTTTATACTTGGTGCAATACAGACTAATCTGTCCATAGAGGTCGCCCCCCTTCTGGCGACGGCCGGCATGCACGTGGACAACACGCCCGCGGAGAAGATTGTCACGACGATGGGGGACATACGGCTACTACAGGAGATCACGGGGAGATTTCGAGCTCTACACATCTGCGAAGCTGAACTGGCCTGTCTCAAAGCCGTGGTCTTGTTTAAATCAGGTAATACTTGTGGTTTGTGCCAGATTCAATATAATATAATGCAAAGTTTAACCGTTAGCTTAGAAAGCATCTAGCAAAAACCTCTATTGATAAATTTCATTTATACTGGATGGCTCAGTTTTAAACTCTTCTTTTTGGAGGGACAGTAAGGATCATCTCTTATTGATCAGTATTACTACAGAGGGAACCTAAACTAACTTTATTTATACTGGATAGCTCTATCAGTTCTAAACTGTTCTTCCTGGAGGTCCAGTAAGGACCATCTCTTATTGATCCAGTGTTACTACAGGACGAAACCCAAGCTAAACTAACCAATTCTTCCTAGAAGTCCAGGAAGAATCATCTCTTAACCTCTTGCCTTTATTTTGACAGATCTCCGTGGATTACGAGACCCGCAGAGAATCGAAGTTTACCAGGACCAAGCGCAAATTATGCTAAACGACTACGTGCGTCGTCACTACCCAGGACAGCAAGTGCGCTTCGGAAAACTCTTACTGAACTTACCATCCCTCAGGATGATAAACACGAAGACAATTGAAACGTTATTTTTCCGACAAACAATAGGCAGTGTGGCTATCGAGAGCCTCTTGTGTGACATGTTTAAAAGTTAGAAAATGTTCTAGATGGCGGTGTATATTACTACATGTATAGTATAGGGGGACCTAAATGTAAAATTGTATATTAAATTAAAATATTGTTTTGACAGTGTCAAAATGACTAAAATCTTGTTTACATGATTGACTCGGTCGAATTACAACTTTGGTATTAGAATCGTTTAAACCCCGAAGTTCATACTGAGTAAACGTAGTATTTACCGGTGGAATCTCATATTTCATTACAGAACTTAAATCATCATCATTGCAGAAACACGATGTGTATTTACATTTGAGCTTTAGTTTGCAACGAACTTCTTAAAACGATGTTTGATTTGAACTTTTTAAAACAATGTTTGATTACAAAATGTTGAAGGTGTAGATCGGGCATATACTGTAAGGTTGCCATGAATTTGGCGAGCATTTAGGGTTGTTTATACGAGCCGAGCCTTGCTGGCTCAAGATATTGCTTCAACACGCTTCTATTAAAACTAACTGTATCTCTAAGACCCACAAATCAAATATTTTAAACGGTTCGTTCATTTTTGTTCGGCAGTATGCCGAAATTTAGCCACTGTAGTGGTCTTCGGAGTGTTTTTCGTCCAGAACTGTATGTTTTGAGACAAATCTTGAAAGAGCAATCGTTTTTCAAGTAATCTTTGCTTGTTCAAAAGCATGAAACAATTAAACGCTTTGACAAAGTAGTTTCAAACTTTCTCAACAGTGTTATATGTATTATCGTATACGAGTTTTAGACAACCGAAATATGGTTTACTCATTTACCTTTAAGTTAGAGCATTTTTAAGACCATTTCTCGTCTAATGTGTTCGTCGAGAATCCTGAAACAAAGTTGGGGTTTGAATTCGAAACATCTGCTGTCAAAAATGGTGACGAAATCAATCAATACGGTAATTAATGCTATACCATTTACTCTGTCTAACGCCGGACGATTTTTCTCTTTAGTGGTAGAGTACAGCTAGTAAATGGGTCAACAGAACTATCTAACAGTGTGTTTTGCGATAAAAAATAAACAACTGCTTCGCTGGTATTTAACAGTACTATTTCCAACATACCAGATCATTTTACCTGTCTGCCCTTTTAATGAGAACCACCAACCAATAATTCATTCAGGGCCATATATTGCTGAAAGGTTTACACAAGACGGGTTAGTTCACATTTCGGGACAAGGAACTTCCTTGAACAAAGAGTTTGCCAGTAACCATTGTGATCCACAGTTTTGCTGACAAATCATCATTTTGCCAACAATGGTGGTTTTTGGACCAGGGCTGTCTATTAAATGCCCCCGATACCCACTCCTGTATGATGCCCACGCCCCTGTATGATGCCCACGCCCCCGTATGATGCCCACCCCTGTATGATGCCCACGCCCCCGTATGATGCCCACCCCTGTATGATGCCCACGCCCCTGTATGATGCCCACGCCCCCGTATGATGCCCACCCCTGTATGATCTAACCCCACTATGATTAACCCATAAGTAAAATCATCTAGTAGTTGAAGGAATAAATATGCATTGTTACGGTAAGCAGATTAATACAAACATCAATAATTTTTTGCACCACAAGGAGCATAAAAAATGGTATTAAAATAACTAAATACATTAACTAGCACTGTTTTTTACACGCTTTTCAACAAGCAATGCAAATTGTCATTCAATTTTGGGAACAACCGAGTTTGCTCCATGAGTGAAAGTAGGAAAATTGTCAACATTCAATTGAGTTCACCATGCACATGGTGGTACACATTGTGCCAGAGTAATCTACTCTGGCTGCTGGTACCATATACCATGCTGGTTGTTACTACTGGAAACTAGAACCGGCACCATGTTCCCTCTGTAGACGGCTACTATATGTTCTAGAGATTAGGTTCCAGGTATCCATATATCGATCCATACACATTGCAAGACATTTCTAAAATTATATTTAAGTATGGATCATTACTTAAAGTGTGGCTGACCCTTTCCCCCCTTAAAACACACACACATTTGTGTATGTGTAAATATTTGTATTTTGATCTAGAGACATGTAATATATTCTGGTGAAAGACCTAACCAACTTTGTCAAAAGTACTGTCCATTGATGATGTTATTTGGCAAAATGAAATTTAGTCTTTTATTGTTTTCTAAAGACACTCTTACTCCTACTATTTGGCACAATTTTTGGTGCAATATTAATTTTTTGATGGGTACAGAAGACAAAGTAGTTATGAATGCTCTGATCTATAGGTGCCTTTATTTAACCATCCATAACATATTCAGTTGTCTTGATTTTATTCTCAAAATAATCCTGTATATTTGAGATATTAGAACCACACTTATCCCTCATTACCAAGAGGTTCAGGAAAACCCCTTAAAAAGCATACCAATACCACAAATACTAGTGTATGACATAAAGAGAAACCTACATTACCTGTTCAGAACTATCTAGTGAAGTACCAGGCTTGTTAACACATTTCTTGAAACATTTATCAGACATTTTCTACAAATACATGACATGCTATTAACATGATTGTGCAAATTCCAACCTTTCTGAAAACGTTTTCCAGAAATCAAATTGAAATTTTAATTTGGGTGGGTTGAGTTAAAGGGATCGTTATTCTGTTAAAATAAATATGTTGGTTGCATTAGATCAAGGAAGTGCATTTGAATAGCATTAAGAACTTATGAACTCGATATAAAATTTTCAAACGTTGTAAAAAGAACTCCAGATTTCTTTAGAAACCAGAATCAGACATTTTGGGGCAGAAATAGAAACTAACTTTAAGATTAAATATTTAGCTATAATATTTCAACTGCAAACTTTTGTTGAATTGTTCATCTTTTGTACACTACAAAAGCTACTCATTCACATAGTTAACAATCACCAAGGCTTATTTAAACACACTACAGCAACCACACACAAATCACATTTTACTCCACCTGTATGAGTTCCTGAGCGCTCGCCAAAGCGACTTGCTGCTTGACCTGGTCTAAAAGTTGCTCTCTTTGAGCGTTATTCAGTCTCTCTCCGGTCGTAGGATAGTCGAAACTACTCATTCCTCTTTTAAAATGAAGAAAAAACCTTTTCGATCGGAATAAATAAGTTTTTAAAACAATATTTCGGATTAAACTTCAGCACTTCTATATTGCAATCTTTAAATCTTTAAACTTGAGCACGTGCAGTGCCCGTGCGCCAGTTTCGTCTCTCAATACTTCATCTTGTGCTAATGAAATAATCATCCATTATCTTTGCACAACATGGAGTATCGGCCTATCATCATATTTTCTTCACGTTTTCCAAAATCAAAATGGCCGTCCCCGACGATGAAAAGTCTTTCCGTCAACTCGAAGATGTGGGCTGCCCCGCCGAGATATTTACCATGAAATGGTCGCCGAAGATGGATCTTCTTGCAATCATCACGGCAGAAGGCGCTGTGTGGTTAAACAGATTGTCTTGGCAACGAGTTTGGACTCTGCGCTCGCCCGACTACAAGGCCATTTCTCTCGCGTGGCGACCGGACGGTAAAGTGTTGGCGCTTGGCTTGGATAACGGCAAAGTACATTTAATCAACGTGGAAAACAGCGAGTGCCTTCACCAATACGATGTTGGAGGCAAGCCGCAATTTCTGAATTGGCTGGAAACTGTTCACCCCCGTGCCCCAAACTCTGCAGGCATATTTGTCGAGAAGGGTGACAGTTTCCTCCCTAGTATGCCCCACCTACCTACTGGAGGGTCTTCTATGTTGACCGAGGCAAAATCTCATGACAAACCTTGGGATCCAAAAAGACTTAATGAACTTACTGGCATGTTGAGTTTTCTTGTTATTGTTGACAAGCATTCTGTCGTCTCGTTACTGGTCCATGGCTTACTGCCGATTGGTAAAATCAATGTGGGCAATCTTGTCGAGCAACCTGAAAACTGCCAGATCCTCAGTGCCTCGTTGGATGCAAACATCCAATTCCTAACAATTGTTATGCAAACGAGCACTTCATCGGACCCTTCAGATGGCACTGTTTCCATATTAACATTCGATACCAAACTTTACAGTTCGAGGTCAGAGGAACTCGAGGTGCTCTCGTTAAAGTATGGGAGGATCTCAAGCATTCTGACATACTTGGATGGCACCTTTGCGGCCATGTCGGAATCCTGGGAAGACATCTTGCTGGAAATCGACTCCCAGCTGCAGAAATACGCAGACAGTTTAAGTCCAGATACAAGCGTCTCCGAGGAGTTTCTAACACTGCTCACTTGTGGCACTGCCAGTCCGGAGTTGCAAATTTTCCTTGTGAACGACCTTACAGAAAAAGGTTTGTTTCGCATTTACCCAAACATTAAAACCCAACACAACCCCTCTTTAAAGCATTATAGCAAACAGGTAGCACTAAGAGACATTAAAAAACTCATCAACCTATTCAGGGCCATACCCCAGGCAATCATATGGGCAATAATAGGGTAGGTGACTTCAGTCATAGTTAATATGGTAACATTTAAAACCAAAGCCTAATTTCAGCTGGAGGTGGCAACTATCCCCCCCACCCTTCATCACCCCCCCCCTTCATCTCTCCCCTTCATCTCACCCCCCCCTTCATCTCACCCCCCCCTTCATCTCACCCCCCCTTCATCTCACCCCACCCTTCATCTCACCCCCACCCTTCATCTCACCCCCCTTCATCTCACCCCCCCTCCTTCATCTCACCCCCCCTTGATCTCACCCCCCCCCTTCTCACCCCCCCTTGAACCCATACACTCATGTATTCCTGCATTCTTCAGGTTTGAAAAAGCTTGGAAAGACAGTTGAAAATTCCTACTCAAACATCCAATCGCTGGCCCTCAATAACCTCCAGTCAGGAAGCAATGCTCTGCTGTACCATCTGAACGACTTGAAAGGCATGTCTCAATGGTATGAACGTTTTGGCATCCTTGGCCTCTCAAACACGATGGTCGAGGATTGCTTGAAAATCTTGGGTTCCCTCATGCTAAAGACGCAAGAACTACTCGCCGTCATCCAGAGTGGACTGCAGAGCTTCATAGCCTTCTTCAAATGGTTGTACCTTGTGATCCTACAACTCTTGGACGAAGAAGTCCCGGCATTTGTTAAGGCGTTCAACCAAGAGGATGTCTCGCTAATCGCGGAGTTCCTGCACTGTCAGCTGGGCCAGCAAACAAAGGGTAAAACGAGGTTCAGTATGGAAAGAGTTGGACAATATTTGAAGAAGGAACCACTACAGTTCCAGGTCGATAGCTCTGAGAATATTTGGACGAAATTTTTGGACGCAAACCCCGAAATGGCCGACACCTCGTACATCTTCACGACAGCCCCCGAGAAGTCGCTGGCGACTCTTCACGAGGAACTAACATCAAGTATTCGCGCCGCGTTTGGTAAATTGACGCGCACCACCGAACAAGCGTTGTCATGTAACCTCAGAACGCCGCTGGCGTCTTGCACTGCGGGCAAACACGACGTGTCGCAAATCTCCTGCGAGGATGGATCGCGGCATTGGGTCGCGATAAGCGAATCGGGTAAAGAACAGTTGCACCTGATTAGATTAGGTTTGAGCGGGGCTATGTCCAGGATACCGGTGGCAGAAGGGGTTACCGTAGGATTCCAGCAGTTCGGCGTTCACGACAAGGGACAGTCAAGGATAAGCGTGGTTGATCTGGCATTTTACAACGAAACGACCCTCACCCTACTCCTGCATAGGGAAGAGGGAAACGACAACAGCTCGGATATACTCGCCCAATTTCCGTTCTCGTCCCTCGATGGCTCCCATTTCAGGCGACTGACTTCAAATGAAGCAGTCGCAATGGATGGCTCTGACGCGATAGTCCAATACAGAAATCTTGAGCGAATGAAAGCAGTTAAGGTGGCCGTGAGCGGTTCACGGAAGGTCGCGTGCGTGTTGTCCACGTCACGAACACGTGTCAAACTCTTCGACATGGATGCCGACGATGAGGTTGACGATACCTTGGATGAACTTCAGACCAGCGCCATGTCCACGGATAGTGGGGTATAGTCCTTGCGTTTTAAACAGCGTGGACGTTCTATCTCTAGACAGTATGGACTAGAATACAAAAACCGTGAAAATATTTTAGTAACTTTGTTATAGACGGTCTTTTTCTTTGTATAGTAGAAATCGATGGTGTCTAGGGGATATCAGGATATTATATTCAGAACATCCTCGAAAATGTAAAATATTCGATTCACACTCACCTGATCAAAAGGCAAGCGGGAAAACCAAAACAAAAACACTAACCACACTCCTGGTAGAGTGCCAGGCTTGCTTAGACATTTCTTGAAGCATCAAACATTTTCCACCAATGTATACATGATATTCAAAAGACCTGCTTAGTATAGCTACATATTTATATTTCGACCTCTAAAATCCTCATGGATTTCATTATCGTGACTTATTCACTGGAACTCTGCGATTCATTATCTGTACTCAGTACTCTTCTCGTCTGAGAAAGAATTTTATTTGTATACAAATGAATACCAGTAATCAAGAACATCGTACGATATATCCCTAATTTATCAGGGGCCGGTTGTTCGAAAGGCGTTTCGCTTAAACGGCGGATAAGTTCAAAATGGAAAACAAAATTATCTATTTATTGGACAAATGAGCTGAAACATTTCAATGCAAATAGTTTAATTTTCAACGAAAGTACATATTAAATGCAGGTTCAGTCATTCACAAGATCTATGAGAGTATTTTTGAATTTTGGCTTATCCACTGTTTAAGTTAAACGCCTTTCGAACAAACCGGCCCCAGGCTATAAGCTGGCTCGTCGTTGTCCAAGGTATTGGTGATTCTCAAAGCTTGTGTTCAATACCTTCATGGACTTGTGTCGACCGGGCACTAAGGTCAGTTTTAACGTCCTCTCTTACCTTGAATTAACAGAGTCATGCTAGAATTGTCGTTTTCAATGCATCTTGATTTAAAATGTTACGTACGTTTTCCCGTGTTTTTTGTAACCTAAACATCTTAAAATGAAAATGTCTTGAAAGCGTACTGCATCTCGCTAATGTGTTCCACTTATTGCCATGAAACTTGCATTTCTCTTAAATGAAAGCTGTTCTGATCCACTTGTTTGGTACAATCATAGAAAATCGGGAAACAACACTGCACTGAGTAGACTCGTTTAGTTCCGTACGAGCGTCGGTTCTCGGGAGATCTCGACCACTCTAAGTTGGGTTCAAATCACAGCAACACTTCAACCCTTGGCATTTTTTGCCGGGAGGAACCGGAAATGCGTCCGTGATACCTTTAACCACAGGCTGGCCTCCGATTAAGATGTCATACCCGCTAGTCGACGAGGTGAGGAACAGGATTTGGTTGCATTGCAAGATAACTTGCCCCTGACGTTTCACGCATGCGGCCAAATAATCCCGAAGGGAACTCACGAGGGTAGATGGTGCCACATCGGGCGGGAAGAGATAATAGGGGACTTGGCGACTTAGCTTTCCAATATAGGGATCTTCGGCGCCGCTCAAAGCTTCATAGCCATCTAAGTTGCCCAAATACGTGATTGCGGGCAGGTCATTGCCTAGAAAATATGAAAGAAAATGGAATTCAGATTGATTCGAGTTAAACATACTCCGAGCTTCCTTTACCAGACTTCCAGAAAGCAGAAAACAAAGTTTAAGGAAACAATGAACATTTACACTTTTGAACACAAAATACTTAAATGATGGCAGCCATCCAGCTAGAAATATACCCTTGAGTGCAGTGTGTGCTTCCACTCACCTTTTGCAACAGGGACCATTCTTTGACCTTTCACAATATAGCATGGAATGTCCTTGATTCCTCCCTTATAAAGACACAAATTTCCACTGGTTTTGACACTGTAGATGGAAGCACCAAAACCGAATACTTGTACACTGTTCGCGGCAACATTAGAAATCTGACCGCAGAATATTCGTGATATTGCTATGGGTGGTTGGGTTGGTTCTTCGATATTATCCCATACCAGTGGACACACTGAGCTCATGTAGTTGCATGTAAATTGACTGGATGCATAATCTAAAACAGGTTAAAAATTACAAATACTGCAAATCTTGTGAAACGTAACATTTTTCGACTCTTTGTAATGCTGGATCAATACGAGATGATCCCTACTCGACCTTATCGAAGAATAATCGTGAATAACGTTGGTTTAGGTTTCCTCCTGTAGTAAAACTGGATCAATAAGAGATTATCCTTACTGGATCTCTAGGAAGAACAGTTTAGAACTCATAGAGCTATCCAGTATAAATAAAGTTAGTTTAGTTCAGGTTTCCTCCTGTAGTAACACTGGATCAATAAGAGATGATCCTTACTGGACCTCTAGGAAGAACAGTTGAGGTAGAATTGATAGAGCTATCCAGTATAAATAAAGTTAGTTTAGTTAAGCTTTTCTCCTGTACTAAGAATGGATCAATACGAGATGATCATGACAGTCGTGGTAATCATACCTTTGACACAGAATGGCTGGTCTAGTCCATACGGTGGTGAGAAAGCGAAGGTACCTCCAGAGGTTTCTTTACATACCAAACGACAAGGCCCAATTAAACTGTAGCCAGGCTTACAGTAGATGGGATAGGTCCATGTACCAGGCCGCGATGGACTGTTTTCAACTCTGATGGGTGCCACATTCTCGATCACTGGGGGAGAACAGGTTCCTGGAACAAATAAAGTACATCATACGAATTACATTTCTGGATTGAAAGATTCTGTCTTTCTGGATAAGAACGAAGCAATAATGAGATTTTAACATTCGTCAGTCAGGATTATATATTAGTGCCAGGTTGTCCAAAAGGTGGACGAAGTTCTCAACTGGATAGTGATTTGATAAAAATGATGAATATAAAAATTATTTCTGCCAGGTTGAAATTGGTATTAGTGCCAGGTTGTCCAAAAGGTGGACGAAGTTCTCAACTGGATAGTGATTTGATAAAAATGATAAATATAAAAATTATTTCTGCCTAAAGGCCATGTTACCCGGTGCAATTTTTCTGCAATTTGCAATGCAATTCTACTTCTAAGAGATGTAAGTTACTGAAGAGTCTTGCAGAAGTAAAGTACATTAATTGTAACAAACACAAAAGTTTCATTGTTCGAATTGCATTGCAAGTTGCAAGAAATATTGCACACCGACCCAGTTTACTCAATTAAATTTTTATATATTGAATGGATTTGGAAATCACGGACCTAATCCCAAGAAGTTGAATGAGGGAATGAAGAATTTATACTAGGATTAAATATCAGGACTCGATGATTAAACTTTATGATTCAATGGATTAGTAAATCATAGATCATAGATTAGTAAATCATAATCTCAGTATTGGAATAAAGAAATGAAGACTTCACATTAGGATTAATCATTAGTACTCGATTATAACATTTTTGGATTAAATGGATTATTCTGATATATTCCACCTTCAATAGCTATTTTTTCATTCCTAAGGTCGAGTATACCATATTCCGATATATTCGACCCTCACTAATTTTTACTACCAAGGTAGAGTATACCATCGTCGTCGTTGACTAAATTTTCAGAAGAAGTTAGCAATTATGTATTCAATCGAATAGGCCTTTCTCATAACAACGTCATACACGAGAAGCCTTATGTTGCACGGAATTTGATTGGCTCGTTCGTTTTGCGGAGCCAATCAAACTTCGTGTAACATCGGGCTTTCAAGCTTTTACGTTATTATGAGAAAGGTCTACTTTTAGATTCAAACCTACCTCCTGTCAAGGTTCTTTTACTGGCGGGCAAGTTTGGCTTCCCAAATCCTAAAAAAAACAACAAATTGAAGTGGGCATTAAAATTGTATTTTATCCTGCGCTCAGTGATGCATGTGGTCAGTCTGCATTGTCGTAAAATATTTAAAAACTTACGTCTAACATAGGCTTTCGTGACATTTTCCACTCCATTGCTCAAAGCAAGTAGAGAAAGTAAAAGACACGAGAACAATCCAGTCATTTGATTGTCGTATCTGAAAAGAGTAAACGAGCAACTTATGCTGCATTACTGCTTTTACCGTCTTACGATGACAATTTACTATTTTCTGTTACTACGAAGGCGACCTGTTCCAGTGTTCCACATAAAAGAAACAGCTCAGTTATATCTGCTATTAATCTCTAGCGTTACTTCAGGAGGAAGCCTAAACTAAACTAAACTAGCATTATATATACTGAATAGCTCTATCAGTTCTAAAATCTTCTTCCTGGAGATCCATTATAGATATAATCTCATATTGATTCAGTGTTACTACAAGACGAAGCCTAAACTAAACTAACTTTATTTATACTGGATAGCTCTATCGGTTCTAAACTGTTCTTCCCGGAGGTCCAGTAAAGATATAATCTCTTATTGATGTTACTGCAGAGGAAACCTAAACTAAACTAACTTTATTTATACTGGATAGCTCTATCAGTTCTAAACTGTTCTTTCTAGAGATCCAGTAAGGATCATCTCTTATTGATCCAGTGTTACTACAGGAGAAAACCTAAACTAAACTAACTTTATTTATGCTGGATAGCTCTATCAGTTCTAAACTGTTCTTCCCAGAGGTCCAGTGAAGATCATCGCTTATTGATCCAGTGTTACTACAGGAGGAAACCTAAACTAAACTAACTTTATTTATACTGGATAACGATTAGTTCTAAATTGTATTGCCCAGTTGCATGTGCAGTAGAGATATCTGATCTTTTATATTTTGATCTTTCACGATAGCAAACAAAGACAAAATTATGACTAGGAAGTTGTCAACTTTGCAGGTGGTTTTCACGGCGAGTTAAATTCGAACTAAAATTTTGATGGAAAGTCAGTATCTTGCATGGAATCTTATCACCATGATACACAAAATTTCCCTAAAAATTGCGGAATAACAACTGTCTCGAATATGGACACTACAAACTTGATAAATTAGTGTTTTTAAACCGAAACGCCTCCAAACACGGCTGAATGGTTTTTCACAAACGACATACATCCATTATAGTCTAAACAAACACCAAAGAAAGAGATTGAACAATTCAATAAAGGAACACAAGCTTCTCTTTAAAATTGGTACAAAATAACACGATGTTATACCTTATTTTATTTCAACCTGATCTTAAAGACTTAACAAGAAAATTTCCCCCTACTTCTAAGCTATAGTATATATTATACAATTAGCTCACTAAACTAATATTCATAGTTGGATGGAGCTCATATAAAACACTTGTTTTTTTATAGCGGTTTATGAACTACTCAAGAACGTCAGCATAAATTTGAAGCCACACGGAGAAATGCCTATTCTATGTTATTATTTGCTTGGCCCATCGTAGATTTAAAATGCCATTCGCCAATTGTCTAGATTTTTCAAGTAGTTTAGAAGCGAATCACGCATGCTCCGCTATTAAGTTTACCTTTTCGGACTATATCGTAGAATTGATTCAAATATATATGTACACACACACCTTCGTCAGTTTGTAGTGAACGTTTTCACATTCGACAAATATATTATAATGCTTTTAAACCTTTGCTCTTCGCTTGCAAACAGTGGCTAACTGGCATGTTTCAATCGCATTTTAAGACGAAGGCAATACAACACAATAGCAACGTAAAAAGAAGTGGGAATTAAACAGACCTTTTGAAGCAATATTTCACTGAACGTTCCTTCTCCGCAACGAAGTCAAGTCGACGAATTCCTCCATAGACCTTTTCGGTGATGAAACATGAAAGGAAGATAGTTTTATTTGAGAGAAGCTTCTGACATTTCAAAGTGTGAATACATGCAATATATAGACTCAGTGAAGCGTCATACAAGAACAGGTTTAAAAACAAACGAAGTTGTTGGTGGATAATTAGAGTCCAACAGAGCTGTCGGCTCGTTGAAGATACGCTGAACAACTTTGAACTGAGCAACCAGCAATGTCAATAAATCACACGAAATTTGTTTGGTTTGAAGGAACGTTTTGCATCAGAAATTACGTTTAATGTTTCCATTGTAGCATGGTTTAATAACTTTTTATCCTCCATACAGCGTGTCCGAAAGAGCGTGATAAATAGCAATTAGTAAGGAATATTTATTTGATATTATTGTGTCAAACTGTTTTTCTACTGGATAGCTCTATCAGTTCTAAACTGTTCTTCCTAGAGGTCCAGTAAGGATCATCTCTTATTGATTCAGTGTTACTACAGGAGGAAACCTAAACTAAACTAACTTTATTTATACTGGATAGCTCTATCAGTTCTAAACTGTTCTTCCTAGAGGTCCAGTAAGGATCATCTCTTATTGATTCAGTGTTACTACAGGAGGAAACCTAAACTAAACTAACTTTATTTATACTGGATAGCTCTATCAGTTCTAAACTGTTCTTCCTAGAGGTCCAGTAAGGATCATCTCTTATTCATCCGGTGTTACTACAGGAGGAAACCTAAACTAAACTAACTTTATATCAACGGTATAACTCTATCAGTTTAAAAGTATGTAGAGGTCCAGTCAGAACTCGAAGGAAACCTAGGACTAGAAAACTCAATAAAGGACTACCTCATTGGTAAAGTGAAAGCTTATTTCCCCTCGTAATCTCCTGGATTTATTTCATTTTTTTACATTTTAACAATGTTTGATTCCTCCTAAAATAAATCTTGTGCGAAGCAAAGCAAATTTTCAAGCCGAAGACTTCTCAATCTTCATGTAAACAATGACAACTCCGAACACTAGACAAGACATCAATCCCTTCTTCTTCATTTGCTTTGCCTCGTGTTATCGAAGTTGTCGTTGATGCGTAATTTACAAAGAACACAAAGTGGAACAATATACACACAGCTCATGCAATTATCATCAATCAGACAATCGAGAAAGCATCACCACTGTAAGACGATCATCACTGTAAAGGTCTGTCCAAACGATGCAATTTTGACAGATCCAATTCACTTCTGATGGATGTTTTATAGTCTGTTGGCTTACAATGTGCTATTATATTGGACAGCAAATCCACTAAACCCAATGCACTGCTTCAGTACGGCTTTATCAATAACAAACTACGTTCCATACGTCAGAAGTGAATTGGATCCGACAAAGTTGGATCGTGTGGACAGACCTTAAAGATCTGTTCACATGATCCAATTTTGTCGGATTCAATTCACTTCTGATGGATGTTTTATAGTCTGTTGACTTGCAACGCATATGTGAGGCAAAGCAACTAAAACCAATGCAGTACTGCTTTGTTAATAACAGATTATATCCCATACGTCAGAAGTGAAATGGATCTGACAAATTAAATCGTGTGAACAGGACTTAATAGTAATTCCATGTTCAGTATAGCTATCACAAATACACGAATATAATTCTTCAAATTAGATTAAGATTAGGTCTAAGATTAGGTCTTAGATTCGGCTTATAGTTGATTTGTGTCAATTCTAATCCTAAATCTAATCCTAATCCCAACTTAATCTGAAGGATTAAATTCATGTACATAGGATTTTCTGAACAACGGATTATTATCATTATCACTATGTCTGTGGTTTAAGACTTCCTCGCTATTCCTACAACCCTCATCCCTTCCCTTTAAGTCTACTCTCGATGTGCTTAAAACCTGAGTGCACAGATATGCTTTCCTCTATTCAGCTGTTCTTCTGTAAAACTGCGTGGACTATATTTCGCTTCTTTCGGGCCCAACGTTGGAAATTTGTCGTCTGAGATGCGGTCTTGGATCTAAGCAAAAATCATAGTGTGAAGGAATTGTCGTGTATATTGCATTAATTGATACCTCTATCAGTTCTAAACTGTTCTTCCTAGAGGTCCAGTAAGAATCATCTCTTATTGATTCAGTGTTACTACAGGAGGAAACCTAAACTAAACTAACTTTATTTATACTGGATAGCTCTATCAGTTCTAAACTGTTCTTCCTAGAAGTCCATTTGGGATTACCTCTTATTGATCTAGTATTAAAACAGAAGGAAACGTAAACTAAACTTCTGGAGGGTAGAATAGATTACGAGACAAGCTTACCCTTCTCGCTACGGCATAAATACCGTTAAGGACCTGAAAATAAGATAATTTTTCAAACATTAGAAATGACGCAGCTTGCATTTGATGTGTTTAAGAGCTCCAACTCCTTAATTGCAGGGAGCATGAGTGACTGTTTTCAAAAAAGTGTCGTACAAGCCCGTTGCAAGAATGAAACACTTGGTTGATGTGCTAGCTTCAATGCTTATTTTTCTCAAAACGTTAATCCGGCCACATAAAATAATAACAATTATTGCTTACAGTTCCTTTTTTTGATTGATGTGAACGAGGAAATTAGTATAACAAATGCTAAGCTCTCAGGAAAAGACGATCGCAAATAACAGCGGCAAATCACAGCGGTGAAACTCGTCCAAAGATTACCATTGCTCACCTGGTTCATGTTTCGTTCTTCGTATAAGTCGACGGTTTGGAAAAGGTCTTGTTCGGTGCAACCCCACTTCTTTGCCGCGCTTAAAAAGTTAAATATGTTCTCCGTCTGTATAAAAAAAGTGAATAAAAGAAATCAATACGACTTAATTCGGAATGGACAAGGACTACTCAGATAATTTCTTACCATCTTGAAGCGGTTTAGGTTTTCCTCGTGGATTTTTTTTATAGTGTTTGGTTCCAACGTGTTTATTAACCTACAATAATAAAACGAATATAACTGACTTGTAGTACAAGAGATGAAGAAAAGACTTAAACTAAGCCAACTTCTTTATCGATCGATATAAAACTGTTCTTCAAAAAGGTCCAGTAAGGATCATCTCTTATTGATGCAGTGTTACTACAGGAGGAAACCTAAACTAAACTAACTTTTTTCATACTGGATAGCTCTATCAGTTCTAAACTTTTCTTCCTAGAGGTCCAGTAAGGATCATCTCTTATTGATCCAGTGTTACTACAGGAGGAAACCTAAACTAAACTAACTTTTTTCATACTGGATAGCACTATCAGTTCTAAATTGTTCTTCCTAGAGGTCCAGTAAGGATCATCTCTCATTGATCCAGTGTTACTACAGGAGGAAACCTAAACTAAATTAATTTTATTCATACTGAATAGCTCTATCAGTTCTAAACTGTTCATCCTAGAGGTCCAGTAAGGATCATCTCTTATTGTTCCAGTGTTACTACAGGAAGAAACCTAAACTGAACTAAATTTATTTATATTGGATATCTCTATCAGTTCTAAACTGTTCTTCCTAGAGGTCCAGTAAGGATCATCTCTTATTGTTCCAGTGTTACTACAGGAGGAAACCTAAACTAAACTAACTTTATTCATACTGAATAGCTCTATCAGTTCTAAACTGTTCCTCCTAGAGGTCCAGTAAGGATCATCTCGTATTGATCCAGTGTTACTACAGGAGGAAACCTAAACTAAACTAACTTTTTTCATACTGAATAGCTCTATCAGTTCTAAACTGTTCTTCCTAGAGGTCCAGTAAGGATCATCTCGTATTGTTCCAGTGTTACTACAGGAGGAAACCTAAACTAAACTAACTTTATTCATACTGAATAGCTCTATCAGTTCTAAACTGTTCCTCCTAGAGGTCCAGTAAGGATCATCTCGTATTGATCCAGTGTTACTACAGGAGGAAACCTAAACTAAACTAACTTTATTCATACTGAATAGCTCTATCAGTTCTAAACTGTTCTTCCTAGAGGTCCAGTAAGGATCATCTCGTATTGATCCAGTGTTACTACAGAACTGTCCTCCTGATAATAATAATTGCTACACTGTGCTATTATACCTGGCACTCAATACGCATGTGGCTGAGATTACACTAACTAACAACCTGACAACACCGTATTGCACAAATCTCCAATCATCACGAATGGATTAAGCGGTGCTAAATTGTGTAATTAACGCATCGACACCTTGACGGCTAAAGTGCTACGAACTCGAAATATGATTTTCGGTATGTGCCATATTTTGGTAAAATCGAGATGAAATAATAGTACGTACTTGCAAAGGAAAATCCCATCTTTCAGCACGTTCGCGAAATGTCTGGGTCCCAATTCCCTGTCGTTTATCCTCCATTCGTTGAGTTGTTCCAAAGACTCCACCTCGGGGGGTGGGTCGTCCATCAATATTCCAGTCACATCTTCAATCCAGAGCCTGGCGTTGAGTTCGCCGTCGATGTCGTAGCTCGCGTCAAGCTGAGAAACAAATAGAAAATTTTAGGGGCGAAATGATAAACGATATCAAACATACACAGGACACCTCTCTATTATACAGGCGGCCGCATAACTACGCCTTTAAAAAAGGCAATGCAACCTCGACTATAAGGTGCTGTTACATGCTCCTGGTTGCCCAAGACTTAATGAAGCGTATGAATACTTCCCTAAATGAATAAATACAATACGAACACTTGTCTAATACATTTAGTACGGACCCTTATACAGAAACCTGCATCTCTCTGAAACAGACATACAAGCACCACCCTAATACAGACACTACCCAGATACCGACGACTCTCTAATGCACGCAGCAAGACACCTCTAAAACATGCATACAAGCACCTCTCTAATATGCAGACACCGCCCTGATCCAGACGCCTTTTTTTCCTAACGCGAATATTGTAGAGACCTCTCTAATATAAAGGAGACGACGGTGGTTGGAAAGGTGGACAGTGCTGTCGATACAAATGTATTTTTTCATCGATTGTTCTAATATAAGAGTAATGGAGTTGAGTTTATCCATTTTCCCCCTTTTTTTCAACGTTTAAAAAATACGATATAATAATAATACGATCTGATCAGCACATGAGCAATTGGACATTTGAAATGAACGAGAAAATGATCTATTTCAGACATGCTTTGACTTAACATGAAGATGGATTATTTAAACAAAAAATAGTCGTTTATTTCAATGCTTAGTTATGTAACAATTACTAAAGCTTTGTACCCATCGTAAAGTCACCAGCGAAAGCCCTCGTTTGCGATCACTACAGGAGCGCTTTTTTATTTTTAATGAATCCTTTTTTTATTCACCGGTCACATACAACACATCACCGAACGTCAGCGACATGGAAGAAACAGGCTTAACAACTTTTTAATACAAAAATACAGACACTATCTTCATACATAGAGAGAACTACCGAGTCAAGGCTCATCTGCAATATAGAGTGCGTACTAAAACACTTCAAACCGGATACCTAGTGCACTTATCTGACGTGGCCACCTCTCCTAATTGACATATATATCTAATGCGGCCACATTTCTAATATATATAGTCTGATTGATATGGACGTCCTCGCGACAAAGCCCCTTGAATGGACTTCAGTTATCGTAAAATTGCAACACATCGAACTTAAATATACTTAGGTAGTTTTGTAACGCAATCACGATAACGCAAGTGTCCCATGCAGTTTATAATATCCTATATAGGGACAGAACCGCGACACATTCCGGGAGTTATAAAGCTCTCCGAACGTCCCTGCGATTTGGGGAGGAATCCGAGTCAAATCAGGACGATCGAGAAGTGACGTTTTCTCTGGGGAAAATATTTCGTGCACGTAAATTGCCTAATAGCAACATTATGGCAAAACAGACGGAAAAGCAATAAAGAGTAATTGTCAGAATGGCACGCAAGTGTTTAATATCATGTCTACTATAAAAGGAGTTTGCAATGTTAGTCACGAAACATGACAAGATGTCAGCTACGAGAATTTTATTGCATTTCCTAATCGTATATCTAATCTGCAAAGAAAACTATGTACGGTGCACGATGCGTGGTAATCGAGCGACTCTTCACTTGAATTCTTACGTATAAAACTGTCTAGAAAACGGCTAAAAATATATGAGAAATGTCCGCGTCGATTCGAACGAAAGATTTAATGCAGTTGTTAAATCCCTTTTGATGACAAGCTATTTGAAGAAGCTGCCAAGCTGGTTCTGATTATTTTCATTCAAAAGTCAAAACACGTCTTTTTTCTAATGAACATTATATATTTGTTCAAGTGTCAATTCCAAGAACTATGTCTATATGGAAAGCCTAGATAGTTACAAGCAATTTAAAAAACAAAAGGCAACGAATTGAACGAAAGATTTCTCGTTAAAACATAAAGGCGATTAAGACCACTGATTGGATTACACGAAAACGTTTCTGTAACAACTTTGTGTGGAATGGCAAATCCTCGTTTCACATACATGTCCTAAATTCTCAAACAAAGAATTTTCGAATTAAATTTCATTCTAAAACTGAACATATAAGATACTTGCACGCAGATTTTTTGTTTTTTTACCCACCGGAAAGGCTCGAGGGCTTCTAACCGGTCTTTATTTCGAAAACTACAAAGTGTTTGTAAACTGGAGTACTGTATTTAAAAGTCGAATAAAGAAACAGCGGCAATTAATAAACAATAAAGCTTTGAACAATGGCAATGTAATGTTCACAGTGAGGGAACTAAAACGGGCGGCATTGTCACCGCGAAGGATTATAACCAAATTAAAACATCAAAAATCTGTTTGCTAATTCTTTAAAATGCGTTTCTCGTTTCTCGAATGCAAATCGACGAATGCCACGCGTTGAAAACTCTAAAACTATGGCGCGAAATGTTTTTGTTGGCCATAAAAGGTTATCGCTGAGCCACACAGACTATTTGACAAGTCCACGGACAGCTGAAGCATGAAAATTGATATATTATAATTATAGTTAAACCCCGCTAAGTGTGAATAGAGGTAAGCTTAAACGCCATGGAAACTATAAATGAATTCCTATCATCACGAACGAGCATATATGAAAGTCGATAAAAATACACCGCGAGCTTTGAAAGTTCCACAAAAAATTTGGCGAGCAAAACAAACCATCGTGTTTATACAGCTGGCCACAGCAAACGGATGCTACGGAAACGTCTAAGGTTACCCTCGAAAATTCGAACTGAATAACAGATTTTTGCCCGAGAGTCCACGGAAAACATGGCTCAACTTGAGGCACATTAACACCCAGAGATACCATACATAGGAAATGAATTATTATAGATAACTTTGTCTATAATCCACAATGTTGACAAGCGAAGCTGGTCGATAGAAATATAGAATATCTACAATTTATAATCGCAGACAACGACGTACTAGGTGGTACATCATCGATTTCAACAAAACATAGCAATAGCTCATTTTAATCTATTTGGAAGCTCTTTAAACTGATTTGTCAAAGAATTTGCCAAATTTTTGGATTTATTGAAACAAAGCAAGCTAAGATTTCGATGTTATGATTCACTTAAACGATTTGTTTATCCCTATAATGGTCGAAACTCCCCTCGATATATCAAAAAACCCTGCTATTTTGAATGAAACAACAAACTTTGGAGTTATAATGCTTGCATATCTTCACCGAAATACGAAGAATCTTGCATAAACTTAATTACCACAGGCAAATTGTCGCCATTAAAACACCATGGTATACCATGTCCCATAATTTGCTGACGTGGTGGTTCCAAGCTTCAGTAACGAAATCAAGCAAAGTCCTGAAATTCTGGAAAGAATCCGAACCAAACCACGTCTACGTTGCTAGTAACTTCTAGACGACCTATTAAACTTTCCTAAGTAATTCTTTCAGACATAGGCGTACGATAGTTCAGCCACAAACCAAGCTATTTACAGACTATTTATGAAATAAAATAATGACAGCACTCATGCCGGGTACTCGCTACAAGGTGAATTTAATGAAAAACAAGATTTATGAAATCCACGCTATAGAACTACATATCACAACCGTTCGTTGCTGATAGCATCGTGATACACTGTTGACAAATTTCAAATGACAAAACAAGGCTATATTTACTGGTTTTTAATTCCCAGCGAAGCTCGAAGCTTACTAACTCACCTTACGTCGAATATCTAAAGCGATGCCTGACGGCGCCGCACGAGAAGTCATATTCCAAACGGTTCGTCTTCGAATGTAACGGTGCAAGTCGAACTCGCGTATCGTGAAATAATGAACGTGGATGGATTTTAATAATGAGTTCGTAGCAGCAGAGATACGTCTGTAAACTGATACCAAATATTGCTTTCTGTTGACGGGTTCAAGCTGGGTTCTCCCGCGAGGGGGGTCTGTGTTCCTTCGCCTGATTGGCTGAATCACACGCGAGCGGTTATGGCATTGTTGGTGCTTGCGACCAGAGGAAGTCATCACTTCTCAACTGATGTTCACGCCTGTTGAGTTCCTGTGTCGTCAAGCGAGTTAATTAATAAACAGGAAAATTAGGTTGAAGTGCAAGCGTGGGAGACATCGAAACACCTTATAAATACATTTAAATGCTAGCGTCTGTTAAAGGAATGTATATGAAAGAAACGTATATAGCCATGCAATTTACCACGGAGAGTGACAACTTGGTTTTCAAAGCGAAAAAGTTTAAGTACCCTAGCAATGTTCAAACTGTGTTTGAAATGAGCATTTGGAGAAGAAAACGTAGTTTCAATGTCGTTCTCGTAGTAAATAACGCCTCACACTCAGACTCATTGAGTGGGACATAGAAATTGTGTCATCAATGATCAATGGGAGAACTTTCTAGTCCTCTCTTAGTAAAATTTAACGTAAAACTTAAAAAACTAGCTTTTATTCGAGTGGAAATACCGCAAAGGAATCGTTATGAAGTGATTGAGATCTCTCACTCAATGAGTTTGAGTGAGTTTTCGGAAAACAGGCGTGTAAATCTTTTTCACCGCAAATATAAGTTTGGCTTTATTTACTGTTTTCAAAACGGTCAATGTTGACTTCACGCACGTATAGCGATATATCATTACATCAACCATCTTAACATGCTTACCAGAATTACGAGTTGACATGAGACGCACTAACTGAAGAAAAAACCTAAGTTTGAAGCCCTCTTGAAACTCAAAATATGAATAAAAAAACAAAAAGCGAATTTATGTGTGAAATTCAGACGACATTCCAAGTCCTCGTAAGCCATTCACTCTCAGCTATATATTCACTGAAAGTATTTAAAATTTCTTAAAACTAAACTCTTTGTGCTTTAGACACGAATTCTTTGGTCCATCTTAAGTTGCCTCTCGCCTATACACCTTGGATAACCTCCAAACTGAGATGTAGTCTCTTCAGTTCAAATTAAGCTGAAGTTGTTAAAATTTGAATGCTTAATTATTTCGACAAAACCCAAAAGTACATAATAGTGAAAAACATGTAATAAATATCAGGCACTCTAACTTAAAGAAAAACTTCATTTCGAGGGGGGGGGTATTTAGGACTCCCTGCGGTTAGTATAGTACAGGTTGTTGTAGTTAAACATATTTAAAAAATTTTACTTTTATAGTAATAAGACTATATATGTCCAGTTAATCTGCAGACAATCTAATGAATTTGTATCTGACATATCTTGTCAATCGATTTAGTGATTTATATCAGTTTGATAACGCCTTATGCCAACGAATATAAACATTTTGAAACCCAAGAAATCTACAGTTTCACGACCTTATTCAAAATAGTCCAATAACCGAATGGTCCATAATCCCACTCCTAATAGTTGTATATAGACCTGCGCAGACCAGCTCAGCAGGCGAAGATCCGAAGATAGACAGATACTTCATGAAGATAGCAATGTAATCCATTGCAATGGTCCAATCAATCAAATTCAACGGTGAATTACTCTAGGCAGGCTCAGAAACGAGTTTCACGGTCTAGACTTTAAACATCTTCTGTAACTTCGGGGGATTTTTTGGAATGATGTTCGGTTCAAGATTTGTCAAGCACATGTGGATATGATTTAGAGACATTTATAACTTATTTTAGAGAGGGGGGTTTCGAAGTTTACAAAAATGCAGTCCGTAAAACAAGTAAATAGGGCAAAATACTGAAGGAAGTCAGACTTGAAAATACACAGAAAGAGGTGTACGTGTGACTCAGTTTAAGTTTGGTAAAACATTCACAGAAAAGTGAGAAAACATTGCTTTAAAAGTTTACATTGAAGTAAAGGAAAATAAAACGAGAATGCCGGTTTGAAAACAACAGCGTATTCTGTTGTTGAAATTATCCGTTTAATGGCTTTGTACTAAAAGCATTATGTTGGGCTTTGATATTTATCTTCCGAAACGTTTCCTGCCAGGCACGTCCCTGGCAACAGTTATTGAACAGTATGTACGTAAAGAAAATAACAACTCCATGTTTATAGAAACGTCTCAACAGAGAAACTAAATACAACTACCATTGCTAAAGACCGTGAGTTTTCTTCCGACTATCAGTGTATATATATCGACATAATATTGAGACAAAATCGATCAATAAGGCCTAGCCGTATGGCACGCGCCATTAAGAACGAGAAGAGAACTTACATTGTGTTGATGAAACGAAACGAGTAAATGCCCTTTTTTTTTATAACTATACGTATTATATTAGCGGTCTGAGCCGGATCATGCGGTCAGCCTGTAATATATAGTTGGCCTCTGTTTTGCATTTTTCGCACTTAACAATCAGCCAAAACTCCAAGTGCTTCGGTCAGAAGAAGTCTCGACAACCGCCTGCGCGGGCACTCATCGCTGCACTCATCGTAGAAAGCATGCAGTTTGGGCTGGGTTTGATTCCTGTAATACCAACGCTTTTCCTTGACAGCAGGAAAACGAGGCGCTTCAAAATTTACGAGCACTCTCTGCCTCCTACGCAGGCCCTTTTCGGGCAAATATGGCTGGCGGTGATATTTTGCGGGTAAAAGTCGCCCGAAGTGCTCCCTAGCGCATGCGGATGAGGTAGAAACACTCTTATGACAGGCCACTGATGACACACTAAAATCTCCAGTATATGGAGCAAGTAACGGCATGCCAAAAGAACCCGTTTAGTTTACACTATACCGGATTCACATGGTCTGATGGTCACGACATCAGTTTGTATAAGTTTACGGTATCACTGTCCCCAGAACGTGTTCATTTGGCAGATCATGTTAAGCCAATCATGCTATCATACCTTTTGGGGTCAAACTCGTTTCGACACGGTTAATTTTGCTGTCGTGATGTTTCGCTATAGTTTGACCAGGTTTCAAAATTATGTAATACGCGCGCATCAGTGTTTAACCAAATAGGACTGGGAACGAAGTCAACCGTACGTCACGGATGAACATCACGCGAGCACGAAAGGAATTCCTAAAGGTCACGCAAGAATTGTATCGGGAACGCAATTTTTTTACACCATCGCACGCAAAACGTTACCCGGGCACGAATGCATGCCCAATCTTGAATCTGCCAAAATATTTAATGGGTAATTATTGCAGAGTAATATTTTCTTAAATTCGAAACTATTCACAAATACATATGACCAAAATTGGAGTGAAATAAGTCAGCGACTAATTCAATTTTAAATGTGCTATGTAATCTATGCGTTGCAACATTTCGAAGTCTCTGGAAACGTTGTTTCTAATAAGGTCACTTCGACTGCTTTCCAACGGTGCTTGTTGACATTTTTTAAGATCTTTTCTTAATTGTGAACTACTTTTCCATATGGATGTACTTGTTGAAATATTAAGAATATGTCTATACCTATAGTCTCGTCAATGAAAGGACGTCATATTTTGACGTCTAAGGGATGCTTTCCATTGTCCCGATTTCATACGCACGTACACGCATGTATAAGTCGAAATCCTTATATATGTCATATTTGAAAAAGCTAGGTGGATAAATCGCAAGAACTTCGTTTTCTACATATTTTAGTATGCCTTTTTTGTTGACTTATCTGTAAAATAATAATGGAGCATTGTTGAAAGTTTTCTGCGCGTAAGAAAACGGGTAAGTGCGATTGTGCAAAGCAGCCTTATCTCATGCAGGTATGGTTCCAAGCTATAGGGCTGTTCACATGATCCCGCTTATCGTTCACATGATCCCGCTTATCGTTCACATGATCCCGCTTATCGTTCACATGATCCCGCTTATCGTTCACATGATCCCGCTTATCGTTCACATGATCCCGCTTATCGTTCACATGATCCTGCTTAACGTTCACATGATCCTGGCTTATCCCGAGATTATTCGAATCGTGAAATGACTTTGAGGTATCGAAATGACAATATAACATGATTCTGGAAGTTGTGTAGTCATTCCAACAATATAACAAAATGCATGCTTGCATGAGAGGAGAATATTACTAAAAAGCATCGTTTACATGCATAAACTTGTTGCAAGTTTACATGAAGTAAAAAAAATAAAAAAATAAAATAAAAACTTATTTCAATACATCAAAATCATCTCACGTTTTGTTGAATCTCAAGTGATTTACGTCATCCCCATCTGTCGAGATTAAACGAAACTTAAAATGATTTTGAGGTATTGAAATAACATGCAAGTTCCTGCAAGTGATGTACTCATTCCAACTCATTCGAATTTGGCGCAGCAGGAAGCGACGGCAGGTCTAGTTTTGGGCTCCCTAATAAAAGGGCGGAATTCAGAATTCGGCTTCAAATATTTAACCGTATAAGGCTTTAAGCTATCCTTAACTGTTATTGTCAACTACAAATGTTTCCGCGTGTGAGCTGTGAGTAAAGTGCCACTTCTTACTAATCTAGGCTTTATCCGCTATATTAAAGCTGCTTTTGATTCTTTGTGAAAGCAAACAGCTTTTGTAAGCTCTGATAAGGGGCACTACTTACTGATCCATGCTTTATACGCTACAAGGCTATCTTTATTCCTCATATCAACTAAAGCTTCTATAAGCTGTGATATACGGAACCTTTCACGGGCCACCCCTTGCTGATCTAGTATTCCAGTTGACCAGGATATTGATTTGCGGTCTCTGTTGGTCCTCAGCTGGTTACCATACTGTATACTACCTAAGATTACTGAACTGACGATGCGTGAACTGACTTTGAGGTATTGAAATAAGTCATTTGTATCATCCTGTCAGTCTCCCAGTCACCTCGACAAAAGGCATGTGTTTGTTTGGCTTTATCAGGGCCGTATAGCCTGGACCGCTTAATTTGTGTGTGTATATATTCATAAAACCCATCTTTACATATCATAGGAACAATAGCGAACAAAAGAAATCAGTCAGGCATAAGAGGAGTATATGAACATATACACACCCCCAATTAAGCTTCTAGCTACCTACAATCCTGGGCTGCACACAAAATCATATTACGTTATGTATTTACCAGTAATCAAAACGGGAATGCGAGATCATATAAATAGCCTCTTGTTTCGAGGAGAGAACTTCGAATTTCATTCAAGTATTCGCGTAGATCCTCGCTGACTGAGACAGGAATGAAGGTATGCAAGGTATGCAGCGCCTGGGGCATGCGATTTTTGTAATGTTGATATACAATAATTATCACTGGTAATATCGTATGACGTGTGTCATTCGTCGTTATTTGCCCCTGGTTAAAGAACAGAGCCGTTATTAAACAAATGTTTGACTATAAAAAACCGCAACCAGACCAAAAACCCTGGGGACAAGTTCGCCACCAGGCCCACAACTTGCCAAAAATTAGTTTTTTAAATTTTAAAGTTAAAACGTTTTATAATAATCAAAATCGAGCAGTTGTCATATTTACGTTCCAAATTCCAATATAACCAAGGATCAGCTTATATAGCAGTGTCTTCTTGTCAAATATGGTATAACAATTGGCTGTTAAAACGGAGAAAAAAACCCGTACGCCATTACAAAATGAAATTACACGGGAAATTACTTTCAAAAAAGACATAACAAGGTATAGAGTTTATTCGCTAATTGCTCTGAAGATGTTGCGATGATAGCCACACATAATAGCCAATACAGTTTACAGCTTGTTATGTCTTTATATTTAACTATACAGAATTATGAATATTATAAGAACATTATTGTTAGGTCTTGTTTAAAAACATTTTCTAACTGCTTTACGCCCAGTGTATCGGGTAATTTCTACTGTCATAAAACGATATTATTGACCAGTCACCAGATAGTATTATTTGTATATATATTTATATATATTTTTGTACATTTGTACATTTGTATCAAAAAAGATTGTTTGCGTGCATGGCTTGTTTTCAGTTTTCGTGTGAATATGTAGTGTTTTTATTATACATGGGCTTTTCAATTGTTACCAAGCGAGCGAGCAAAAGAGTAACCAAGTCAATGATTCAGCTCTTTATAAATTCAACACGACATTGAAAAGAATGAATTGGCTAAAAACGTGACGAAGGGAAATCCATTGCTAAGTTTTCTATTTTGAATAACTATAACCTTTGTCACTTCCTTGTAATGTTTTTCTTTAGTAAATGGCCTATGTCACGCCTCTTATAGAAAACAGCAGTTAAATATCATGGTTGTTGCTAAGGGCAGCATCGTGTTTAAGTCTGAATGACGCTTTGCGAATTGCGACGTATGATGGATGGTTGCAATAGCGAAAATGCCAATTACTTTAAAACTGGTCGTGCCAGTGAATACAGTCAGATCGTTTTTAAACTTAGTTTTGTCGTTTGTAGCTACGATCAAATAAACTGCCTGAAAAATTGAAAAGACAAAGTAAGGCCCCTTTTGTGAAAGGTGGAATTCTTTTAAACCATATATATCTAGCCACACAGGACTTTAATACATGTTACTGATAAACATTTACAGCAGATCAAGTGTGCTTAATTTATGAAAACCAATCAAGGTTCTTGACGTGTTTAAATTAATTCCTACGTGAAAAATTGTGAATATAAAAAGTTGCCAGCAATGTCTACGACCACAACAAAAACCGTATACTGTAGCTCACAATGTAAACTCCAATCCTTTAGCCATAAATAATTACAGCATGAGTGATATTTCAGGCAATATGTTGGCAATGACATTAGACCAGCCATCAGTAATGGGATCAGCACGTATATCCAATTTCAAATATGCGACATGCACATCACTGCAATATCTGGGGCTCTTAACCGCTTCGGAAAGCACTAAACGTTCGCCTTGCTCGGTTCGAATCACTCTAACAGACAATTCTGGCCGTTTGCGCGACAAATCAACGGGGTAACCTTCACTGGGCAAATCAAATTTGGAACAGTTTTGCGACCTCAATTCCAAATATGGCGGAAACTCGACTGGTATGCATCTATCGTTAGATATGAAAAAATCACGCATTTCTCCAGGGCTGTGGTGGGCGAACTTCAAAAGGGCGCGGTCGAATTGGGTACGGGAAATTGGCGGCGTTTCAAGGCCTCTGAGAAGACAAAATTTCTGTCCGAGATGCTATTTTTTCTACAGGGCGTTGAATTTTAGATGGAGATGAAGAATCAGTTTGACGCAAGGCGGGGAATAAAGCGGTTGATTTTCGCTACCATAATCGGTGTTTTCAATGGAAGGGTCACGCGAGCGACCTTTGGCGCAGCATGGGGCCTGCATATTGAAAACAGCCCGATAATAAATAATCGGTGAATCATTTGCAACGCCACATTTTCTGTCGTCCCGTTTGCTGCATCAGAAGTGTCGCACTGTCCTGTTGTACGGATCAACTCTCGCAAATATCATGTCCCACAGAGCCCAACCAGCCGGTATCGCTGCGGAGGCCAGACGCAAGGTAAGTCCTTAGAACCGTTATTCATGCACTCTGCCGTTGTCAGATGCAAACCGTTTGTAGTTTGTAGTATATTCGACTCTCGTACGAGTAAATCGCCATCTGCTGTGCTATTTCATAACATTTCGGGCCACTGGCTGCATCTGAAGTCGTCCCAAGCACAGTTGTTGACGCTGCACACGCTATCCAGCAACCATTTGTAGGAAATGTCAATAATTCATGCCGGGATTCGCCAACGGGTGCCTTCTGGCAACACTATTCGTGGTTACAAACGAAGGAGGAAAATATTTATAAAAACTCCAGCGAAAAATAAACGTACGTTAGCCTAAAAGGCTTGCTAAAGTGCTTAGTAAATTTGCTAACTTTGCTTAGTAGCTTTGTTCATAAGGCGTTTTCCTCAAGCAAGAAACCTTTTTCACGCTGCTGTTCTTAGTTGAGTTCACCTGTGTTAACAGAGGGCGTAGCTAGCCAAAAGAACGCGCATATTACAAACAACCCTATACAAACGAAATACGCTCGAATGAGAGACTTTGCAATCTCATTCAAACTACCCCATGTCGGTATTCATTCATACCACCTTCGCCAAAAGCTCTTGTTCAACCTCAGGTTCATTTCATTACTTTGTTGTCAATACAAATAGGTTATTTGGGATAGGTGGACATCTAGGATGAAATTTTACGAAATCTACACAACAGTTTGGTGTATAATGTTTGTTTTATCTGAATTATCGGTCTATCTTTCACGATCAGAGATGCGAAATATCGACAAGACGTGCAGTTTAACAATGTCAAAGCAGGATTCCCTAAACGAGATTTCTGCCACACTGTTTACAATGTTTCTAACCGGACTGTGTCTACCCTATACCACAATGCACTAGGAAAATATGTTTTGCCGAATGCAAGCACATCGCAAAGGTGTAAAATACACTGGAACCTACATTCCTGCTGATATGATGTCATGGTGTCCAAAACCTCTAAATATCGAAACCGCAGACTGTACAGATTAAACGGCTAACTCCGATATATAACATAACCACAAAATGATTCAAACCTATCGTTTAAAATAAACTCAGCAGTTTTACATTAGATAAATAATCAAAATAAAGCCTTAAATAACTGTTCAAACAGGGGAAGTACTTGCGACATTAGAAATAGCACGTCACATCAACACTCGATATCCATAAAACCAAAACCCTATTCAGCGGTCATTTCGGACTGTTTTTCCTTTCGCAAAGTCTTGTAAATGTCCCTACGTACTCCGTTTGCAATAAAATCGACGAAATATTCCGTGTTTTTGCCGTACGTCTATTAAATTGTACGAAACGAGAATGGCCACTTCAAATCCGGATGTATCGTCTTGACCATATTTGGCCACGTCCCGTGAATAAGGTGTTTTCACATTCCTGAGAAATCTTTGCCAGAATCTATAGCCGTGGCTTGAGGGTGATTAGGTTATCAAATATCTCTATGCAATTCTCTAGGATTCCTCAAAACCTAGTGGATATTGGTACCATAGCATGAACATGGTACCACAGCCAATCTCAACCTCTTCAAAAAGTACGAATCAAAATCATTTAAACTATGTGTTTAGGTCAGATACTCCAAGATGGACATCTGATATTCAAAGATTATCATCACTAAATCTTTGCCATACCCATACCATCTTCTCTTCAACAGATTCGTCTCTGGTGGTTTGCCAAGACCTTTCCAACCACATCCAAAAACCTTCTTTTCTACTCTTTCTTAATTTTTGCAACACGCCCTGCTAACCTGAACAGTTATCACTCGCATTTCAATAACAATGGTGTCTGGTATGCAAGCTCCAACGTCTGTTTGTTATCTTGCTCATTTCTAAACAACTAATGACTTTCCCATTTGTCGCAATGAATCCAAATATACACTCGAGAGCTGTTCGACAGGAAATGGACGAATGTACATTGCTGTACTTTAAATATGTGTTAAATTTGCAAGCGAAGTTAATATGTTAATAAGAATAATCAGTTTAAAGTGTTTTGTCTGGTCCTGCTGTGAGACATTGTTTTCAAACAACGATATACAACAATATTGACAATTCATGGGCTGGTTTGGTTTATTTTAGATTCACTGTAGAGATTTGAAATAGAAAGCATTGTCGCGAGGCTATCTATACTTTGCAGTAAAGCATACCGGAGGCCCCAAGTATTTTATCTCTAGGTGTCGAAAAGAAGGGCGTATTCCCCTTTCTTCATAAAGAGTTTTAAAAACGCTGCACATACAATCCAAAAACGATAGCTCTATCAGGTCCAGAGTCAGTAAGGTCTAGATCCAGTAAGGATCATCTCTTATTGATCCAGTGTTACTACAGTAGGAAACCTAAACTAAACTAACTATATTTATATACTGGATAGCTCTATCAGTTCTAAACTGTTCTTCCTAGAGGTCCAGTAAGGATCGTCACTTATTGATCCAGTATTACTACAGGAGGAAACCTAAACTTAACTAGCTTTATTTATACTGGATAGCTCTATCAGTTCTAAACTGTTCTTCCTAGAGGTCCAGTAAGGATCATATCCTATTGGTCCAGTGAGTGTCACTACAGGAAACCTAAACTAAACTAAACTAACAAGCTGAAACTTCCCTGGAAAAAAGCTATAGAAAAGCGTGTTACTATGTAGTAGAACTGTAGTAAAACACTTTACTGAGTCGTAATTATCATTCACTATAGCTTGATGCTAAATACGACCCAAACGCTGAGCAAAATGCTCGACTTTGGATGGAAGATGTTACAGGCATCCTCTTAATGAATCCAGGCGATGACGTTCAGACAATAGAGCAACTAAACGAATGGCGAATGAATCCTCTTGGACAGAAAGAGTTCCACAAAGCATTGAAAGACGGCGTCCTCATTTGCAAGTAAGTCTATGGATGGTCTAGAGTATGATCCTGTTCTTATGAAAGAAACGATTTAGGTCTAATTGATCTTGGCTGTGAGGGCAGGGCCGGCAGGCTACCCTCTTTACCCCCTCCCACCTACTCGACTTAATTTACCTTTCTCAGAACGGAAACTGCGTATTGTGAGATTTTTTTTGCCCGGCTAGGCGCTTCTGCTGAAATGTAACATGAAGTATTATGTGTATGACAGGCAGATATTAGGGTGGCACATAATTTCAAAGTATATGCCATATTTAATTGCGTCTTCACTTACTACATTAGTACATTTATAAGAACTGGCAGTGAACTTGTGTTCCTCTTGTATTTGAGACTAAATTTAGGCAGGTTAGAAGGTTAACACAGAACTCTGCTAGGTAGTAAAGTGATTCTCATCTGACGAGAAAAATCGTTTGTAAAAAGAGAAAAATGGTAAAGTAAGCATATCTTAAGCCGTTGCATCAAGAGATTGCAATAACTACATTGCAATACTTTTCAACAAACTTTCAACAAACATCTAAGATTGATCTGTTGTTTACACGAAACAAGAAATTATCCAGGTGCAAAGCCCTTTCAGGGACATTTTTAGACAGTTTTGTTGGCTCATTTCTGAGTAGTACAGTAAAGGATCGTCATTTTTCAGGCGATTACAATGTATAAACGTTATTCACAGGTTAATGAACGCTCTTAAAGAAGGAAGCGTTCCAAAAATCAACGAAGGCGCAGGTAACAGCTACAAACAGGTAATGACCACAAATAACATATCGTAAAAGTTCTCAACGAAGCTTCAGCCTAAAGATTTAAAGGCACAGTTTAGCCTTTTGAAAGATGTGTTTCAAGGTGGAACCCAGCATGAAAAACTAAGTGGGAAAATAAACTACTGTGATTCAATTTCAGTAATTTATAATTCTCAACATCTTGAATAATTAAATATTGACTTCTGCATGCATAAATTATGCTCAATTTTCCATGTCAATTTTTATCAGCGTTAATTAGAATTGTAATGTACTTCAAAACCATCGTTCAAAAGGTTGAACCGTGCCTAGAAATCTCTGCTGCAATGATAATAAAGGAGAGTAAGTATGAGTCGTCGAGAATTGTTTTGTCTATTTTAGGCAGTTGTTATACCACATTTGATGCTAAGTTATTTGAAGACGCTGCCACGCTGCTCCCTGGTTATATTGGAACTTATCTACAATAATAATATTTTGTTTTTAGATGGAAAACATCTCAAACTTCCTCAAAGCTGCCTTAGCATACGGATGTGAAAAAGGTGATCTGTTCCAAACAGTTGAACTCCACGAAGGCAGAGACATGGGTCAGGTGAGCTATCAAAGATAGTTGAACTTTCGAGTTGAACTTTTGAGTTGAGCTATCAAAGATATTTCAACTTTTGAGTTGAGTAAGATTCAATATATCATCGCTTCAGTAATGCACTGGGTATATAAAAGTGTCAAATATTTTCGATCTGTTCCCCGTTTGAACGATGTACGGCCTACGAATTTGAAGAATTAGTGAGTTAAACAAGTATGAAACTTCGCTGTTGGTTATAAAATGTCGATCTGTTCGTTTGAGCGATAAACGGTCAAAGAATTTGAAGAATTACTGTAAACAAGTGTTGGTTGTAAAGTAAAAAAAAGCAGTAGTTTTTTTTACATGTTCCCCCGCTTGAGCGATAAACGGTCTAAGAATTTGAAGAATTACTGTAAACAAGTGTTGGTTGTAAAGTAAAAAAAAGCAGTAGTTTTCTTTACATGTTCCTCGCTTGAGCGATAAACGGTCTAAGAATTTGAAGAATTACTGTAAACAAGTTCATTGTTGGTTGTAGTGAAGTGAAAAAAAACCAGAGGCAGAGGCTTTATCCGGACTAAATCTCTGACTGAGTTCACACAGAGCTCGCCACATTTCAAACCAATGGTAACGGTTGGAGTTAGCCAAGATATTAAAAACCGAGGTTAACACATTCTATTACCTAGGTTTTGAACGGTATCTACGCCGTGGGAAGACAGGCACAAGACAAAATCACGGATGAAGCGTTCCCGAAGCTTGGCCCGCGACAAGCCAAGTACAATCCACGTAACTTCACGAAGGAGCAACTGGAGAAGGGAAAGCACGTGTGCGCGCTACGTTTCTAAACGTGCAGCACGTGTTGAAAGCGTGCGGCACGCTTCTCGCAGTTGGGAGCAAGGAACAATAACGCTAATGTGTTGTATTAGAAATATTGAATGTCTTAATCAAGCAATCTTAGCTATGTAAATGGTCTAATTTTTTTTAGAAATTAAAATTTGCATATATTTTTTGTCGTTTTCACCATATTACGCCTGTGTTTGTCTGTATATTAGTATTATTATTATTTATGGTGTTTTTATAATATAATTTACACATCGAATGTTGTCCAACAACTGCCTAAAATAGACAAAAATACAGTTATCGACTTTTCGACCTAAGACCTTCATCAAGAGAGTTAGTTAGAAGAAGTCCCTCCTGACGAAAGAACGTCATGCAAAAAGTGTCTATTTTAAGTTCAGTTCGATTTTGCTGGATCCAATTCACTTCTGATGTATGTTTTATAGTCTGTTGTCTTATGATGTTTATGAGCAGCAAATGCACTGAAGCCAATGCAGTCCTGCTTTATCAATAACAGACTATATCCCATACGTCAGAAGTGAATTGGATCGGACAAGTGAACAGATCTTGGATCGTGTGAACAGAGCTTTAGGCAGCTGTTTTGCCACATTTGATCCGAAGTAGTTTGAAGACGCTGCCACGCTGCTCCCTTGGTTGTATTGAAATATATGATGCATGGCTCAGATATGGTATATGACGGACATATCAACTAGTGAACTTCGATTTAGTGATTTTAGTTATAATTGTTGTGAGGTTGATGTATTGAGAATGTTGCTATATATGTGTCCAGTCAACAATGGGCAATCAATTGAATTCCAGGTCCAGAATTCACGAGAGAATGCTTGAACTAATCCTTTAGGATTACCATTGAACTAATCTATAATCCTTTAGGATTACGATTGGATTAACAATTAGGTAGGGGTTTAGGTAATTACTACCCAACAAGGCCACGTTTTTTCAATACAGAAAATTAAAAAATAACAAATTCTTCCCGCCAGCAAAAAAAAGTGGACCACGTGTTCCTACTTACCTCGTTGCAACTGAACAAGGTAATTCTGCCACAAGGGGAGAGGACTAGGAACGAGATATTTTCAGTCTATTCTGAATGGAACAAACAGCGCATCTAGTATTCCTGCTGTTCGCTGCAGTGGCCGAATAGACTTAAATCGGTCCTCAAGACATTTCACAACCCGAATGCAAAACTAAGCACTCATAAACAGACTCAATGACTTGAAGAACAGAAACCGTAGACAAACCGGGGTGACATAGTCTATAACTTTTTTTAAACAGAACAAATTTAAACCGCACGACTCTTATACCCATCGGGTATCGTTCTTATACCCAGAGATCTTTATCTTTTGGCCAGTGTGCCTTTCTCAATGCCTATATCTAAACTACACGACGAGTTGTATGCAATCATCATTCTGATGAATTGAAAAGAGGGTCTATGCCCCAATCTTCTCCCTTTCCTTTCAGGGAAGAATTCGAAATGTCACGTTTGCATATGTGTTCACACGTTCACATACGCCAGAGTGAGAATCGTATACGACAAATCGCATAGTGTGAATGGGCCTTTATTGTATAAGCACCATTACGGTTGTTAAAATGAGATGCCTTGCGTCGCAATTTTCACCAGATACTGGGAAAATTTTCTTCACCGCTCTGAGAGTTAACACCAGGGCAATTGACAGCGAACACAATTAACAGTCGAATTGATTGATAACTTGTCAGAAGGCAATAAGTGAATGATTAAAAATGATTTAGCAAATCATTTTTAATCGTTGCTTTGCAAGTTGCTGCAAAACTTGCCGAGTGTATGACATTACCTTTCCATAAACTTTGCATCATTGCTTCCTCATGGAAGGAACAAGACACTTCCAAAGCGAGCAGTCTGCAAGGTCGCTTTCCAAAAGCGCTGGATCATTACGCATATCAGCAGGACATTACTCGTCACTCCTAAAAACAAGGAAAATCTACAGCTATTTTTGACAATGCTATGATTGCTATTATCAGACAATGCGAACTATTTTTGTAAAAAGCCACCTGTGAAGAATGGTATTTTTGGAACGCATTGCGTTCTATATTTGTCAGTAAAAGTCTCTAAGTTGAACGTCATGTGTAGAAATGCTTGAAATTATATTCCAATAGTGATGCATGATGCATCCTTTAGACACGAGCTCTTGAAAAGCAATCTTAGCAAAATGAAACATTGCATGCTTTGAGCAACACGTTTACATTTTACAATCTCAAAACACGAGATTACAGAGAGGTTACAGTCAACTTGCTGGGAATCCTATCCATTGCTTGAGGAGGGACGATAAAGATTGCAATTTCTATGTCACAGTCAACCAAAAGGTTACGAAATACAAAAGATATGAAATGAAACATAATTCATTGTTCAGATGATAAAACTCGATAGATTTTGAGCTTAGAGCAACGACAGAATGCATCTGTTAGTCTGACGATGCTTTTATAAACAGTGAACGCTTTCAAGGTCTGTTCATACGATTCAATTTTGTCGGATCTAATTCACTTCTGATGGATGTTTTATAGTCCGTTGACTTGCAATGTATATGGGCAGCAAATCAACAAAAGTCAATGCAGTACTTCTTTATCAATAACAGACTACATTATACACGTCACAAGGGAATTGGATCCCACAAAATTTGGTCGTATGAATAGACCTGTAGTCTTGTAATAGTTTGCAAAATAATCGAGGCATAAAAAGCCAGTAGTCTGGTCTGGACGTTTTGAAAACACCGAGCTAGCTTTACAGTTTCCCCTGCATGACTTTTAAACTGATGAGAAACAGACAATATTGAAGCCGGTATAAACTTTGGCACAGTCAAGCAATTGTATGTTTTGTTCAAATAAGGCCAGAAATCGTCAACTATTGAAGATTTGGCTCGAGCCAACACTGAATGCCTGAACATGCTTATACCGTCATAAACGTCACGATCCAAAGGAGCGAAGAATTAAGGATTACAAATATCGTAATCTAATCAATTAATGAGATTATAAATTTACAGAATTATTGAGTTAAATAAGGTTAATTCCAACTGCAAGCAAAGGCCGCCCATTCGAGATTAAAGTTCAAATTTAAAATGCGTAAACGCTTTATCAGATGACTCTCATATTAGGAGAATTGGATGCTTCATTTAAGTGAAATCGCATAGTTGTCGACGAAAATTCAAGAGCAACAAGTACAACCTCGCACCCAGGGTCTTTTTACAGCGAAATTACCCCGGTTACGAGGTTGGAGCGAGTACAGGACTATTGCAATCTTGTATTTTTTATAAGTTGTGGCCCATATCAGGTACAGAATAGCCGCGGGTAGTGAAATTCTCCCTTGCTAAATAAATGTTTTTGCCATAGATTCATCTCCTATAAAACACTTGCGTGATTAAAAAATCGTTATTAAACTATCTTTCGTTTTTGTTGTCTGATTTTCTATGACCGTTTCCTGACAGTCCCGTGTAAATCATTGTATCCTCAAGGCGTGAAAGAAAGGAAATCGGCAAAAAAACGCCGCGGAAATAGTTCCCGTCTATTCTTACAAGAAAAGAGAACTTAAGATTAATACGATATGCAAAAACACAATCTCACTGAAGTGGAACGACAACAGAAGAGACATAGTTTTACTTCTTAGACTTCCGTTTCTGTGGCCTGATTTTGCGACCTGGATAGCGTAATGGCTTGTTCCATGCAAGCCAGGCAATATATGGCAGGTTAATGCGTAACATCGGACCACTTAAGGTTCCTCACGCCATGTTTGGAAATGTATCCAACGCACAGGAGTTCCTGTTTTCCCATTGCCTGCCGCGGTAATTCCCAGGGGAAAAAAGCCCGAATTGACGTCGTGGATTCAATAGAAGCTTCAGCGGTGACTACGAGTACGAGATTGGTCATTTTACGGGTCATTCTCTCGTGTGTTGTTTTTTTACGACATCCTGCGAAACTCGTGTAGTCGTCGGGCTTCGGAAGGCGAGTTTGTTGACGTGTTTCGTAGACGATGATCCCAACAACTACGAGATTCTTCATTTTCGTGTGTTGTTTGCTTACGCCATCGTGCAGAACTCGTGCAAACATTTTTTGTACGTTTATACTCAAAAGCCCGACAACTACGAGACTCGTCATATGGCGTAAGCAAACAGCACCTCGGTTTGTCGTCAAGATGACGAACTTCGTAGTCTCCCTATTTGGCCACAAAAAACCGAGAAACCCAGAGCACGTGTGCATGCTTGACAATTTCCATGGCTTCCCACCTGTCAGTTTTAATTTAAACTGTACGAAATCAAACAGTCAAGCTCTCTCCATGATATATAGTAAAATGATGGATAATGGCTGGAACGATGGGCTGTCAGAGGCTTTGTCAGAGGGGGTCTTTTCCGATTAGCCTCGTCTGATTAGGCAAATCAGGACTGTCTAAAAAATATATAAGCTCAAGAAGCCGATCCCTCTCTTTAACTTTTTTATGTAATCAGTCTAATCACATCAAGAATGAGCTTTACTGGACGTTTAGCGTTTCTGACTGCTAGGGCAATCCGACAGCAGGCTAGCAGTAATTTTGACTAATAACAGATGATCTTAGTTTAGGTTTCCTCCTGTAGTAACACTGAATCAATAAGAGATGATCCTTACAAGACCTCTAGGAAGAACAGTTTAGAACTGATAGAGCTATCAAGTATAAATAAAGTTAGTTTAGTTTAGGTTTCCTTCTGTAGTAACACTGGATCAGTAAGAGATGATCCTTACTGGACCTTTAGGAAGAACAGTTTAGAACTGATAGAACTATTCAGTATAAATAAAGTTAGTTTAGTTTAGGTTTCCTCCTGTAGTAACACTGGATCAATAAGAGATGATCCTTACTGGACCTCTAGGAAGAACAGTTTATAACTGATAGAGCTATCCAGTATAAATAAAGTTAGTTTAGTTTAGGTTTCCTCCTGTAGTAACACTGGATCAATAAGAGATGATCCTTACTGGACCTCTAGGAAGAACAGTTTATAACTGATAGAGCTATCCAGTATAAATAAAGTTAGTTTAGTTTAGGTTTCCTCCTGTAGTATAAACACTGGATGAGTAGATGATCCTTACTGGACCGCCTTTAGGAAGAATAGTTTAGAACTGATCTTAGTCGCCGATTTGTTCAGGAAAACTGGAACAAATTTGGATGGGAAAGCAAAGCTTC